GCAGAATTAAACAGAAGACGAGTCTGGCAGGCCAGGCTAGCCGGTCCCACCCTGTTCCCTCATCCATCGGAGCTGATCCGGGGTCCTGCACCGTGGAGGAGAGCGGAGGGAATCTCGTGGCTCCAGGAACCAGTGCAGGGCTGATTGTTGCTAGCGTTAGAGGGACAGGACAGGGGGCAGCAGGACCCAAGCTGCGGGCAACCAGGTTTTCTGCTGGGGGGGAAACTGGTCATTGTTGTTTTGCTGTGATTTAATGTTCCTGGGTTGGGTGTTGTGGTGTTCTGTGTATCCTCGCATGAGTTCTTTCTTTTCCATTAACTGTTGTTTCCCCAGCTTATGCCTTCTTTTCCCGATCAGCCTGGCGTCAGCACACACGTTCTTGAGCCCTGTTGTTTTTAAAGAAACATCTGATTTTAATTAATGGTGTAATAGTCTGTTTGGAAATCCACCAAATGGCCTGGTGCATCCTTGAACCTTTGGTTCTGCTACACACATAGAGGTTAAAAAGAAGAGGAGATACAACGCCTACTTGTCTGACTCCATTACTGACCTTAAATGGCTCTGAGATGCTGCTATCCCATTTTATCTGTAACATTTGTGGACCAATAAACCAGGATGTGTATATGGGACACCTTTGCTGCAGCTTTATGAAGAGTTTCCTATGGTTAACTCTATCAAAGGCTTCGGAAGCATCTATGAAGCACATAGAGACCGAGGACTTCTGGTTTCTGTATTTGGTCATCATCTCCTTTAGAGCATACACTCACCTAAAGGATTATCAGGAACACCACACTAATACGGTGTTTGGCCCCCTTTCGCCTTCAGAACTGCCTTAATTCTACGTGGCGTTGATTCAACAAGGTGCTGAAAGCATTGTTTAGAAGTGTTGGCCCATATTGATAGGATAGTATCTTGCAGTTGATGGAGATGTGTGGGATGCACATCCAGGGCACGGAGCTCCTGTTCCACCACATCCCAAAGATGCTTCATCAGGTTGAGATCTGGTGACTGTGGGGGCCGTTGTAGTACAGTGAACTCATCGTCATGTTCAAGAAACCAGTTTGAAATGATTGGAGCTTTATGACATGGTGCATTATCCTGCTGGAAGTAGCCATCAGAGGATGGGTACATGGTGGTCATGAAGGGATGGACATGGTCAAAAACAATGCTCAGGTAGCCCGTGGCATTTAAAACATGCCCAGTTGGCACTAAGGGGCCTAAAGTGTGCCAAGAAAACATCCCCCACACCATTACACCACCACCACCAGCCTGCACAGTGGTAACAAGGCATGATGGATCCATGTTCTCATTCTGTTTACACCAAATTCTGACTCTACCATTTTAATGTCTCAACAGAAATTGAGACTCATCAGAGCAGGCAACATTTTTCCAGTCTTCAACTGTCCAGTGTTGGTGAGCTGGTACATATTGTAGCCTTTTTCTCCTATTTGTAGTGGAGATGAGTGGTACCCGGTGGGGTCTTCTGCTGTTGTAGCCCATCCGCCTCAAGGTTGTGCGTGTTGTGGCTTCACTGATGATTTGCTGCGTTCCTCGTTTGTAACGAGTGGTAATTTCAGTCAAAGTTGCTCTTCTATCAGCTTGATGAGCAAGAAAAACTGAAAGGCATATAGCAAGGAGCATAGGCGTCATTTTAACCGGGGACGCCGGGGACATGTCCCCGGCAAAATTTGTGATTGGCAGCTGTGTCCCCCCCCACTTTCAAAAAAGCCTGCTGATGAGGATTTTTGTTTTACCAGCTCAGATCTTATACCAGGGGTCGGCAACCTATTCCCATCAAAGAGCCATTATTACTCGTTTCCCACAGTAAAGAAAACACTGGGAGCCGCAGCGTTGTGGGCGGGGCCTAGCCTCAGACAGCAGAAAGCTGCTCACAACCAGGTGACAGCAGCCAGTACCGGTCGCTCGCATGGGCGTCGCACCCGTGGGGGATTCAACACCCACACCTTTCCTTCTGTTTTGCTCACCTCCACACCAGTCTGGTTTCTCTATACTCACTCTTGTTTGCCTCATCTCCTTCTTCACCTCCCGCTTCTGAAAGCCAATGTCGGGTTTCAAGGACAGCAGGAGAGGGAGGGAGGGAAGAGCTTGACTGAATTCATAATTTTACATCTTGACATTAGCTGTACAAAGTCTGAGTTTGATAAAGTGAAGAACAACAATTTGCAGAGGTTTATAACAGGCGCGGCGCCAGGTTTTCATTTTTGGGTGGGCGACGGTCATTTTGGACGGACCTTAATAAGCAGTGACTTAGTGAAGCAGGCAGGTCGCGCTAGAAAATTTCATTTAAAAAGACGTCATAAACGTGGTCCCCCGTCATTTTAATTTCTAAAATATGAAGTAAAAACTCCCAATTTAATTTTCATTCATTTGTCATTAATATTTAGTCTACACCCGTGCGTTAAGTGGACCATCTTCCAGTAAAAGCAAAGCTTCCAGCCCACCTCTCCAAATGCGTAAAATGTGCATCAGCCGCTAGTTAGGCGCGTCGCGCGCACCATCAGCTACGTCAGCCCAGACAAGAGCAGAGCAAATAGAGAAAGAATAGAGGATAATTCTGTCTGGATGTGGATGGAGATTATATTTTACAGCAGCCTGATCATCATTTAAATACATAAACCATCACCTGTCTTCTAGTCCACGCTATCAGCATTATTTCAATTGGTGTGTGTGTGTGTGTGTGTGTGTGTTTTCCACTTCAAACACTGGTCTAACCAACCAGACCAGCGTGTCCAGTAATACATTAATGTTACACTTCATGTAGGCTAGGAACATTTCACCTGCCGTGGCCTGACCGCTTCTGCTTCACATAAACTTTGTGCGTAATCAAATGTCTCTACAGGAGCTTTCTGAGCTGAAGAGCTATTCTGCCTCAGACTGGATGCGTCATGCGTCTCCATATTAGAGACGGGAACAAGCGCTGTTCAGCCAAAGTTTCATCATTTCATAAAAAGAACATTTTTCCAAGTGACATCCCTCAGAGAGACCGGGTTTCCAGACCGCTTCAGTGGAAGGAAATCTTATCGCATCGCCGTGGTTCTGCACTGCGCTGCGAAGCCCTCTACAGATCTTCAGCTCACTGTCCACCGTGGGCACTCCGAGCCGCGCTGAACACAGTGTCCAGTATAAAGCTCTGATGTTCTGATGGGAATCAAGTTACCTCTGCGATGTGCGCAACGATTAAAATGTCAGCTCATCCATGCGCATCAGTGTGCGTTGGGGTAATTCTTTCAAACCATTCAACATCCTTGAGTTTATCCGTCAATATGTGGCAAGGTGGAGAAACGAGGGCCGGGGCGGGATTCGATCCCCAGACTCCCGGGTGAGAGTTATACGCTCTAACCAGTCAGCCAAAGGGACAAACCTTTGGCCAAGTAGCCAGGGCGCATGATCTATCGGGACACTGTGACAGGACACTCACACTGCCACACCTGATTATGAAACTTTGGCTGAATAGCGCTTGTTCCTGTCTCCAATGTGGCGACGCATCCAGGAACCTGTCTGAGGAGAAGCCCAGAATCTGACATCCTCCAGCTCAGTAAGCGCCTATGATTACGCACAAGCGTGACGCGTCAACCCGGTCTCACAGTCAGACCGGGTTGGACCTGTTCAGGTTTACGCAGACAATCTTTACATTTAGAATTGGCATACAGATGTAAAATTAATGCAGTAAAATATAAAGCATTTTATTTAAATATCCATTCATTATTTTACAAACACAGAGAGCCGCATCAGATGGATGGAAGAGCCGCATGCGGCTCCAGAGCCGCGGGTTGCCGACCCCTGTGCTAGCCTACTTTATTGTCCCCAGCAATTTTTAAACCCCACTCAAGTGTATGGTTATTGTCCCCAGCAATTCTGAAAACAAACTGACGCCCTTGGCAAGGAGTGGTGCTAACCTACTGCTAGCGTACTTTAGGTGTTCAGCAGGTCTGCCATCCAACCCAGTGGCTTTATTATTAGGTAGCTTAGTAATTAGCTTGGTGGACCTCATGTGACACGATTTCATACTTTCACATGTAGTACGGTTCACTTGGTACACAATTGAACAAGTCATAGAAATGTTGTCTCCACAACTTAAAGATGTTTTCAGTTCCTGAGACTCCATCAACCACACAGGGTACGGGTGTTTTCCTCACTGCAGTGTCTCACTTCTTTCCAGGAGTCTTTTCTGTTATTGAGTTTCAGAGCCAGGCTCAGCTCTCATAGCTTGATCATTCTTACTAATAAAAAGCACTGCACATTTATATTTAGCATTTGTAGCCCTTTTACGCTCAAACACATGCTCGTGTCTAGGTGTCCCCCCTGGTGCCCTCTCTCTGGGGGCCTCACGTGCTTCAGCATGGTACCCAGATACATACCCTCTCCAGCCTGGTCTTCTTTGTTTTAGTTTAGTGTCTGTGAAAGGGAGTGCTAGCCCTATGTAGAGCATTCACTATGTCCTCATACAAGTTACCTACCGCTGGTGTGTGTTCTGGATCTTTACAGTCCGTTTCTCTACAGGTGGCTGCTACCCTGGGCAGGCAGATACCGCACAAGACACGTTGGAACTAAACACGTTGTTTTGCAGGTTTAATTCGGTTGTGCTCTGCTTTCATTAGACGTTACTATATCACTATTAAATATGTTTATACACTCAGTGTTTTTGCCAATGGACCCAAAGGAAGACCCAGGATGTAAGGGAGGGACTATGTCTCTCGCCGGCCGGGAAACGCCTTGGGATTCCCCTGGAGGAGCAGGCCACAGTAGCTGGGGAGAGGGAAGTCTGGGCCTCTCGGTTTAGGCAGCTACCCCCGTGACCCGACTCCAGATAAGCGGCCGAAAATGGATGAACCTACAGGGATGTGCACAAGCAGGGAATTCTGCCTTGGAGGAGGGATCACTCTCTGGTGATTATGGATCCACTTTAGAGATTTTATTGACACAAAACTTTCTCCAAAATTATCCCAAACAGTTTACCCTGAGGTAAGAAAAAAACTAGCTAAGGGTGTAAGAGCTTTATTTCAGTCTCTGTAGGCCTTAATTAGCAGCTTTACAGTTAAAGATAGTTAGAAGGCAATTTAGACAATTAGGAGGCTGAACCGGTACATTTGGTTCAGAAGGGTTGCAAGAGAAAACCTCTTCTCAGAAATAACCTGTAGGTCCAGTTTGGGGTTGACATGTTTCATCTGAATGAACCACAGGACTTGTAGAATAAAGTTCTTTGGACAGATTAGATCAAATTCAGGAATTTTGCCCGTAACATAAAGCACTTTTTTGGGGGTTTTGGCATTTTATATCAACACAAACAGCACAGCTCACACTAGCTGTGTGTATGGTGGTGGAAGGCTAATGGCTTGCACTCCTCGCAGTCACGGAGTTAAAAATTAACTCTTATTTGGACCAAAGTATTCTACAGTCTCCATGAGTCAGGATGTTGTGGACTAGTAGTCAGTGGAACCACCTCCTGATTAATGCAAGGAGAACCAAGGAGCTGGTGGTGGATATCCAAACACAGGCTCTCCTCAGTGGTACTGGTGAACATCCAGGGAACGGACATTTTGGTAGTGGACTCATAAATACCTGAGGTGTTCTTCTGAACAACAAGCTGGACTGGAGCCACAACACCTTTTCTGGAAGGATCAGAAAGCAGACCTTCTCTGACTCTGTGGTGGCATTCAGGGGTGTAGCAAGTTTTTCTAAAGTGTAGGGGATGTTGAGATTTCTCTCTCTCACTCACTCACACACACACACACACACACACACACACACACACACACACACATTTATTTATACGCACATTTACACACCCTATTATATTACCACTGTGCACTATTCTGAAATCATTTCAATTACTACCTACTAGCTTGAACTTATTTGGAATGTAATTTTTTATTGGATTTTCTTCATTCATTTGGCTAAATATTTTATTATTATAAAGTTGGTTTATCATGTTTCACATAAAAGGATACTTTCACTCTTCTCTCAAACCATCCATCTTCCAGGTGAAAATGTGTCCATTTTTGTCTTCAAGCGAGTGCCCTTCCTCTCTGATGTGTAGATGGACTAAATCTAAAGCCTAATTCATACTTCCTCATCAGCCCGAGTGTGGAGTTGACTCGGACGTTTTCTCCTCAGACTTCTCCGTCACCTGGAGATCGTTGCAAAGAAATTTCCCGGCGTTTCGCTCCTGCCACCATTACAGCCACATATCCGGTCCAAGATGGCGCGTTTACTATTGTGTTTACATAGTTTTAATGTTTTTCAGAGACTTTTTAATGAAATGATCCCTTATTCTCCTCCACCTCTTCATGCGATCAGCATCTCTAACCATGTTTCTTGTCATTTTCATCCATGAATAAAACTCTTTCTGCACATCCTTGTACTCCTTCAGTCACGGGTGAATTAACAACTTTTCCCGCGATGCGTTCTTTAATCTGTTCTGTTTGCCGCTAAATATCTCTTTAGTTTTGGAGAAGGCAATGGCGGTGCTGTTGACAAATTTAGAGGTACCGGCGCCCTGACCAATCACAAGCTTGCGGTCTCTGTCACTTTGAATTGATAGTTTAAAGTTGGGCATGTCTCCATCGCCCAATGTGGGCCTGTCGCAGAGCCCGTGTGCCAATGCACAATGGCGCTGCGTGTCACGCTGACAGAGAAGCGTAAATTAGGCTTTGGGCTTTCACCTGAAGCATTGGCTCTTTTGTGTTGAGCCTTCTCTGATGCAGAGATCCGAGTATTCCTTGCTGCACTGGCCTGCATATACCGCACCACCGAGCTTGTGTCTGTTTCAAACTAAACCTTCCAGACCGGCATGCCCTGGCTCACCGAGAACCTGCACAAATGTGTCTCCTCATCATTGCACAGACACTAAACAGCGCAGAGCAGGGTAATAGTTTAGCAGCGGCTATAGTTCAAACATGAGAAACATTTGCACTCTGGACCCTTTCCTGTGAAAATTCAACTGAAATAAATCCATTTTTTTCAACATCAGTCTTGCTTTAGCTCTCTCCTTGCATGACGCCGTCACACACGAAGAGCAGGCGGGACAGGCAGTCAGTTCTGGCGGTGACCTGAATGTCCTCAAATAAAACTTGGCTTCTCTTCTTGTTGACATTGCCCACTTCTTTTTTGAGCTTGGTGAGCTGCTGGAGAATCAGCTGGTGCTCACGGCCCCTCTGAAGACCCCTGAAGTAGAGTACAGCCACCAGATGCTTCCTGCTGCAGGAGGACAGCAGAAACATACATTTAGATTATTGTTCGACATAAAGAAAACACTCTGAATGAACGGCTGTTGAGCTGATCCAACACAGCACAACGTTTTAGTTTTTATTTAGGGGGTTAGGACTATGAATAATTAATATCTTACATGTGGCAGAAAGCTCTTTGAACAACATCAGTTTAAAGAAACAAAGATTAGTTCTGGCCACTGGCTGTGCAGCATTTACTGCAAAATTTATGTTAAATACTTAAATGTTTATTTTCTCTAGAAATCATCTGTACAGCTAGCTATTCTTGCACTTCTTACAGGAAATCCATTATAATTAAGTCGTAATAATTGTGCTATGTGAATTATATGGCAATGAATGCATTGTAAAAAAAAACATTTGCACAAACAGTGCAGAACTTTTATTTTGTAATTGCTTTGTGGCACTTATCAACTGTGCCTGTAGTGTGTAGCTGGAAGCTCATCTGTTTCTCTACACTGACGCCGTCTAGATCAACTTAAACACACTTTCATGAAGGACAAGATGAGTGTGTGGCCGGCCGATGTCCACGGGTGGGCGCGGGAGTGTCGGCGAACAAGTAACGATGCGACTGTCTAGTGGTTGTAGAGCAAGGACTGCGAGCTGTGGATCTATCCTGCGTTCGTTTGAATTCTGGACGCTCCCAGTGCATGGTGGAACATTAGTGGTGCTCCAGCATTCTTCTTTAGCGTTTACCTCTCCTCCAACAAACAGAAAAATCTGAAGGCTGTTGGTCATTTTGACAGACTGCAAATAACACCCAACTCAGACATAAACGTCACACACGTAAAGAACATCGGAGAGCATCTGAGCGTTATCTCACACTTGGACACTGGCGCAAGTGGATGGCGCGCCAAGGAGGTTTTCTTCTTGTTCCGGCACAGACGCTTCTGCTTTTGCTCCCTTATCTTTTTTCCCAAGGCTCTTTGTCCTGTCTGCCTACAGAGCACTTCTCTGCATTTCTTCTGGAAATCCCTATTTTTTGGAAATGGATTTAATTAACTGGTCATTCAACCCGATTGATAAGATCTTTTCTACGATGAGAACGGAGGAGGGGGCTCCCACTTGCCCTCAAGGGACACACGCAGCGGGATATGCACTCGATTTCTGGAAGGTGTGGAGGATCGTTTGTCTCTCTCAGCTGTCCATTGAGGACGTCGAAGATATGTGGATATTTGGCCTGATGATCACTGGATTTCTTCTGATTAGAGTGGGAGGATATCTGGTTTTCTGAAAATTTGGGAAGACGGGAGTGATTGGAGGGCGACCCGCACCCACGGGAAGCACCGCCCGGGCGGAGACCTCACAGACTGGGACGTTACTCGAGGTGAATCGTAAGCTGGACAATGTCTTAGCTGCGTTACCGGTGTTGGTGCGCAAAATGGATGTCATCTCGGAGAGGGTCACCGGACGGTGTGGAGATGTTTAATAACCTAAATTGGCTTCGCTGAAGGACTGGAATGACCAGTTACAGACTGAAGGCAGAGGGGAAAATTATCTCTGCCTGACCCAAACACAGTCTTGTTATCCTAATCTGACGCCAAGGCAGCCTTGAGCTGCTAACAACAACCCCCACGAAGGAAGGAATGCAGACAGATGCTGTGGAAACCCGTCCTACCCCCCCCCCGCCTTCAGATTGTGGACTTCTGCCTAGCGAGGTCATCAATCTGCAGGAACTCAAATGTGCTCTGCGCTCCTCCAAATCTCCCTCCCTCCTGTGGATACAGCTGGCTGAACGCCACACAGGGCTGCTCCCGCTGGGGAACAAGGATCCCGCCCCCCCGCCTCCCTATCGGAGTCTCATGTTGTGAACTGTGATGTTCGTGCTTATGTTTGAGGCGTTTTTTTTTTTTTTTTTGTTGCATAGTAAAGCTACGCCCTGCCGGGAGTAACTCTGGTATGCCTTTTTTTCCCTCCCCCAATTTAACCTCATGTAATTCCCTTTTCATCTTTTAAGGTAGCGCGACTCTTGTTGCGAAGGACCACAGTCACCAATTCTTGTCACGTGTCTTGCCCATGTATGTCTGATCTCTGAATTGTGTGCACTGAAACTCAATTTCATTTCTCTGTATGTCTTGCACTTGTGGTAGAATTGACAATAAAACCGACTTTGACTTTTTTGAGATGTGGAGAGGAGCTTGGAGGTCTATCATAGGTCACATAGGTGCTCCAGTGTAGCAGAATCACAGGTGCACAATGGATCAGAGAGGAGCTCCTCCCACTGAAGCCAGTGTCAACTTCTGGTTATTTCATGTAGAGACACGTTCCCTGAGTTTAAAGCTGTGGCTGAAGTAGAGCTTGCCATTCCTGTTTCCAGGGTGAGACAATAACCCTGACACTCTTGACTTTAACATGTTTGTCTTAAATGTTTTCAATAAACCCTGTTAAAATGTTTTTATTTCACACTGCAGAGAAGCTTTGAGCCGAGCTGAGTGAAGTTGGCTTCCAACCCAGATGAGAAATCCATGCAAATAGAGTGGCTGGTGCTACATTGGTGCTGGTTTTCTGGTGTGGGTGGGAGGCCAGCTTCAGTCAGCTGCTGAGGCTGGTCTGCTGAGCAGAAAACTGCTGCAGCTGTGGACACACACTGAACAGCAGCGCTGTTACTTTAACGTTTGTGACACAAGCACAAATTTGCTTTTAGTCTTGGCTCATTAACAAAAACTCCCACATGCCTCGTCGTGTTTTAGTCATCAAACGGCTATTTTAGCTCGTCAACGTCTTGTTTTCTTTATGGAAAAAAAGGACGTCAACAAAATCAATTTGTCACCGTTTTTGTCAAGTGTCTTTAAAATTCACGGACACCATGTGTGAAATCCATGGCACAAAACAAGCGGAATTAGAAAATAGCGTTTTTAGCCCCGTTGACTTGCGCTCATTTTTTCGTTCTTCCAGGGACCCGTGGTACGGAAGTAGATGGGCGTGACTTAGGCTCCCTATTGCTGCCTTCCAGAACCAGAGACCAGCAGAGCGGTGTGGAAGCAGCAGCACCTCCTCATTCTTCCATTCAGCTTGTGATCTCCATGGCCAGGAGTAGGACTTGCTTAGCTTGTATCCTCTGCTAAGGCTAACTTGTTGCCTCTTGACAAACCCTTTTGTAGGTTGATCCACCCCCGTGACTTAAAATCTCCTCGTACCCCCTTAGCTTCTGGCTTTGTGTTTGGCCTCTGAGGACTTCTACTTTGGAGATGGTTGCTTCCTGGTTTGTGGTAGCAGTGTTGCCAACTCCCCCTGATAGAAAGTAGCTGAAGTTGACCCAGAAAGTCACCCAGATGTCACCACGCCAGATTGGCTTTCATTTTCCCCATAGCATCTAAAATTATATATTTTATATATATATATATATATATATATATATATATATATATATATATATATATATATATATATATATATATATATATATTCTCCCACACAACGGGTGTTTGGATCTAACTTCCGCGTTTATTGCTCGGACTGTATCGCAAGATCTCGAAAGTCCCGCGCATGCTTGTTTGCCCACCTCAGGTCTCCGCACCGGAGCGGAGCCGTTGTAGAGCGGGTACCAGTAAAAAATTGAGTTCGGAAGCGAGCGGCTGCGGAAGGCGGGGGCGGACCGGAGCGGAGGTAGTGGAATTTGGGGGTTACAAAACAATGCTGTTAATTTGCAGCACGCTGAAGCAGCATCAGGGAGTCTCAGGTCGTTATAAGTGTTCAGAGAGACAATTACTGCAATGTTACTACCAAGCAAGGCGGAACGAGTGCTGCAAAATTCGTACATCGCCATGCCAGCATGGCGCGTTCATAAGACACGCCGTTGTGATAATATTACGCTGATTTGCCGGCACGGTGTGTTTTGTAAAAAGGGCTGATGACACATTGCTTTTTTATGCGTGTGGGCTACTGTAGCTGTAATACATCCTCTGAACTGGAGTCACATTTTTTACACACTGGGCCTTTAACTTAAAATATTTTATGTTTCTTTACTGCAGAAAATTTGTCTTGAAATTAGAAATGAGTCTTGAATAGGGGGGGGGGGGGGCACAGTTGAATACAAAGAACATAATACTACAAAAAAGTTAAAAACCGATCTGAAACACTAAAAGAGGCACACGATGGAAAAAGTCCCATCTGCCGACATCATTCTGTAGAATCTTACCTAAAGTCTGAATAATGCTCAACTAGAGGCATCAGATGGTTTTTGATCTCTTTTTTGTTCTTTTGTCCGATGATGTCACTCAGGTCATCTCCTACATGGTGGAGCCACTCGTGAGACGACTTCTACGGGAGACAAAAGCAGAGCAGACCCTGACTCACTGGCCCTTCACAGAGGAAACCCCGTTGGCAGAGACAGAAAACCGCCCATTCTGAGACCGTTTGTGCTGCTTGTTCCTTCCTACTGTAGAAACAAGAGAGAGCAGACCCTTCGAAACAGATAAATGCTGGTCTCAGGATCACTTACAGTGGTGTGAAAAACTATTTGCCCCCTTCCTGATTTCTTATTCTTTTGCATGTTTGTCACACAAAATGTTTCTGATCATCAAACACATTTAACCGTTAGTCAAAGATAACACAAGTAAACACAAAATGCAGTTTTGAAATGATGGTTTTTATTATTTAGGGAGAGAACTAAATCCAAACCTACATTGCCCTGTGTGAAAAAGTAATTGCCCCCTGAACCTAATAACTGGTTGGGCCTCCCTTAGCAGCAATAACTGCAATCAAGCGTTGGTGATAACTTGCTACGAGTCTTTTACAGCGCTCTGGAGGAATTTTGGCCCGCTCATCTTTGCAGAATTGTTGTAATTCAGCTTTATTTGAGGGTTTTCCAGCATGAACCGCCTTTTTAAGGTCATGCCATAGCATCTCAGTAGGGTTCAGGTCAGGACTTTGACTAGGCCACTCCAAAGTCTTCATTTTGTTGCTCTTCAGCCATCCAGAGGTGGATTTGCTGGTGTGTTTTGGGTCATTGTCCTGCTGCAGCACCCAAGATGGCTTCAGCTTTAGTTGAAGAACAGAAGGCCGGACATTCTCCTTCAGGATGTTTTGGTAGACAGTAGAATTCATGGTTCCATTTATCACAGCAAGCCTTCCAGTTCCTGCAGCAGCAAAACAACCCCAGACCATCACACTACCACCACCATATTTTACTGTTGTATGATGTTCTTTGTCTGAAATGTTGTGTTACTTCTACGCCAAAGTTCTACTTTTGTCTCATCAGTCCACGAGGTATTTTCCCAAAAGTCTTGGCAATCATTGAGATGTTTCTCAGCTAAATTGAGACGAGCCCTAATGTTCTTTCTGCTTAACAGTGGTTTGCGTCTTGGAAATCGGCCATGCAGGCCATTTTTGCCCAGTCTCTTCCTTATGGTGGAGTCGTGAACACCGACCTTAACTGAGACAAGTGAGGCCTGCAGTTCTTTAGAAGTTGTCCTAGGGTCTTCTGGGACCTCTCGGATGAGTTGTCTCTGCGCTCTTGGGGTAATTTTGGTCGGCCGCCCACTCCTGGGAAGGTTCACCACTGTTCCATGTTGTTGCCATTTGTGGATAATGGCTCTCACTGTGGTTCGCTGGAGTCCCAAAGCTTTAGAAATGGCTTTATAACCTTTACCAGACTGATAGATCTCAATTACTTTTGTTCTCATTTGTTCTTGAATTTCTTTGGATCTTGGCGTGATGTCTAGCTTTTGAGGTGCTTTTGGTCTACTTCTCTGTGTCAGGCAGCTCAGATTTAAGTGATTTCTTGATTGAAACAGGTGTGGCAGTAATCAGGCTTGGGGGTGGCTACAGAAATTGAACTCAGGTGTGAAACACTACAGTTGGGTTATTTTTTAACAAGGGGGTGGGGGGTGGGGGGGGGGGGTTAATTACTATTTCACACAGGGCAATGTAGGTTTGGATTTTGTTCTCTCCCTAAATAATAAAAACCATCATTTCAAAACTGCATTTTGTGTTTACTTGTGTTATCTTTGACTAACGGTTAAATGTGTTTGATGATCAGAAACATTTTGTGTGACGAACATGCAAAAGAATAAGAAATCAGGAAGGGGGCAAATAGTTTTTCACACCACTATATGACTACATGGGTCACCACGTCTAAATCCCAGGATTTTCAGGTATTGGCTAATACTGGGAAGATTACTCTCCTACCTGATTTTCAGACACTATCTTAAATATTTTGCTCAAAACCTACAAAATCAGAATCTCACATGATAATTTTCCACTGTTTGACTCATAAGATGTAGATGCTTGACAAAAGTAAATATCTTATTCTCAAGCACCACTGGTAAAACTAACTGAAACAGATGCTCCCTCACCGGATAGCTGTGTCAGAATGTGAGTTTACGGAGTAGGACAAAATAAATGAATAAATAAATGCCTTCAAATAGAGAAAATGTGTTTAGGAGGAAGACCATTATCACCATGTTCTCAAACAGATGCCGTAGCTGACTCCACTGGTGACGGATCTTGGCTGCAGCCCTCTCGTGTCTGCGGTTCCTGCAGTTGTAGTTATACTTCATCAGCTGACCAATGTATTCCCTCACCACATGGTAGTGCAGCTCGCTCACAAACTCCTGTCAGGAGGAAGAGAGATAATGGAACAGAAGTCTGTTTAACTTCCACCAGCTGTCAGATTTTGTGAAATGTATGCCTCCACCTCCACCTATTCCTGTCTATGTCAAAATATTTTTCTATATGAAAAGCAATAACAGACAAGAACTCCCTGGAATTTCCAAGAAGGTAAAATACACCATGGAGGCAACAGTGGCAGAGGAGGTGAGCCTGCCCTCTAACGCGGAGGTTGCAGGTTTGCTCAGCCTGTCACAGCTGTTGTGTCCTTCAGCCTCCTAGCTGGTGGTGGCCAGAGGGGCCGGTGGTGGCAAGGGCCGGTGGTGGCCAGAGGGCCGGTGGTGGCCAGAGGGGCTGGTGGTGGCTAGAGGGGCTGGTAGTGGCCAGAGGGGCTGGTGGTGGCCTGAGGGGCCAGTGGTGGCCAGAAGGACCGGTGGCGGCCAGAAGGGCCGGTGGTGGCCAGAGGTGGCCAGAGGGGCTAATGGTGGCCAGAGGGGCCGGTGGTGGCCAGAGGGGCCGGTGGTGGCAAGAAGGGCCGGTGGTGGCCAGAGGGCCGGTGGTGGCCAGAGGGGCTGGTGGTGGCCAAAGGGGCTAATGGTGGCCAGCGGGCCGGTGGTGGCCAGAGGGGCCGGTGGTGGCCAGAGGGGCTGGTGGTGGCCAAAGGGGCTAATGGTGGCCAGCGGGCCGGTGGTGGCCAGAGGGGCTAATGGAGGCCAGCGGGGCCAGTGGTGGCCTGAGGGGCCAGTGGTGGCCAGAAGGGCCGGTGGTGGCCAGAGGGGGTAATGGTGGCCAGAGGGGCCGGTGGTGGCAAGAAGGGCCGGTGGTGGCTGGTGGTGGCCAGAGGGGCTGGTGGTGGCCAAAGGGGCTAATGGTGGCCAGCGGGCCGGTGGTGGCCAGAGGGGCCGGTGGTGGCCAGAGGGGCTAATGGAGGCCAGCGGGGCCAGTGGTGGCCTGAGGGGCCAGTGGTGGCCAGAAGGGCCGGTGGTGGCCAGAGGGGGTAATGGTGGCCAGAGGGGCCGGTGGTGGCAAGAAGGGCCGGTGGTGGCTGGTGGTGGCCAGAGGGGCTGGTGGTGGCCAGAGGGGCTAATGGTGGCCTGTGGGGCCGGTGGTGGCCAGAAGGGCCGGTGGTGGCCTGAGGGGCCGGTGGTGGCCAGAGGGGTCGGTGGCGGCCAGAAGGGCTGGTGGTGGCCGGTGGTGCCTGTGCACGGCAGCCTTGCTTCTCTGTGTGCCCCAAGGTAGTTGTGGCTACAGGCGAAACTATAAAAATTTGAGTATGGTGCAAAAGAGTAATTTTTCAGTTATTCAACTTAAAAAGTCAAACTAATGAGATACTCTAATTCCATGCTGTAGTTCTTTTTTAAAACACAGAGCCTGCGTCAGCCTGAGGAAGTTAGCAGCTGCAAACGAAACGTAGCGGGAAAACAGGTAAACAGAGCTGCTCTGTGTTTTAAAAAAGAACTACAGCATGGAATTAGAGATACGACACAGCAAGAACACACCTAATAATGAGATACTCATCACAAAGATATTCCAAGATTTTATTATGGCTTACAGTTTATGAAAACTCCAAATTCCATATCTCAGACATTTAGAATATAGTGAGACAGTTAATCATCCACTTTTGTCACCTTATCTGGAGTCGGGTCGCGGGGGCAGCAGCCTAAGCACAGAGGCCCAGACTTCCTCCACCCCCCCACCCCCACCCGCTTGGGTCAGCTCCTCTGGGGGAATCCCAAGGCATTCCCCATTTATTCACCACATATTTTAGGAAAAGTTCCCTAATCAAATGTTGACTCAAGCTTTCAATGGAAGACTGGAACCCTAAACAAAAGAAAAGGCAGTCATGCCATGCACCTCCTCCCTATGTACAGGTGCTGGCCATTAAATTAGATTATCAAGAGAAAGTTGATTTATTTCATTAAAAAGTGAAACTTGTACATTGGACTCATTCATTACGTCAGATAGGAATGTTCTGATCACATATTTTTGCTCCCGATCGGATTCATCTGATGTGAAGAATCTGCCGATATCGAGTCCCGATCCGATACTTTAGAAATGAGGGCAAACAGAACACACTAGAGTCATCCTTTAAGTTTTTTAATCATGAATGTGTTTCTTTCTCTCTGCGTTTATGTACGTTCATTATTTTATCTGTTATAAAACATCACTCGTTTAGGAAGAACATTAATAAGAAACGTGCTAATTTTAAGAATATATGTAGGAGTAAATGTGTCTCGCCTGCGCTAAAGCCAAGAAGGACCGGACTGCTGCTGAGTGTCCAAACTTATGTTCTCTGATGAAATTAAGTTTGCATTTCCTTTGGAAACAAAGGTCCCAGAGTCTGGAGTAAGAGAGGAGAGGCACAGCATCCATGCTGCTTGAGGTCCAGAGTAAAGTTTCCACAGTCAGTGACGGTTTGGGGCGCCATGTCATCTGCTGGTGATGGTCCATTGTGTTTTCTGAGGTTCAAGGTCAACGCAGCCATCTAACAGGAAGTTTTAGAGCACTTCATGCTTCCTGCTCCTGAACATTTTTATGGAGATGCAGATTTCATTTTCCAACAGGACTTGACTCCTGCAGACAGTGCCAAAGCTACCAGTACCTGGTTTAAGGACCACGGTGTCCCTGGTCTCCTGACCGTAACCCCATAAAAAGAACTATGTGGTATTGTGAAGATGAAGATGGAATACACCAGACCCAACTATTCAGAAGAGCTGAAGGCCACTATCAGAGCAACATGGGCTGTATAACACCTGAGCAGGGTTACAGACTCCATGCCACACTGCATTGTTGCAGTAATCCAGGCCAAAGGAGCTCCATCTAACCATTGAGTGCTGTTTATGCTCGTACTGTTCAGCTGGCCAACATTTCTAAAATCCCTCCTTTTGCATTGGTCTTAAATGATATTCTAATATTCTGAGATGCAGAATTTGGGATTTTCATTAGTTGTCACTTATAATCAGCAAAATAGAGGAAATAAACACCTGACATACATCAGTCTATGTGTAATGCATGAATCTAATATACAAGGTTCTCTTTTTGAATTAATTGCCAAAAGAAATCAACTCTGTCCTGATATTCTAATTTCATGAGCAGCACCTGCGTATCATGGGCAGGTCCAAACGTACTGCAAGAGCCAAAAATGTCATGAAATGTAAACTGGAATTTAAAAAAACTGTTAAATATATGCTTCAATATGCATTATGACCCATTTCAAATGTAAAGTGTTTCTAGACTAAAATGCTGTGATGCACCAGGTTCGGAGACAGCTGTGGGCTATCGGCTAAAGCTGAAGCCTTTTACACTGATGTTTGTTTGGTACTCCGGTCAGGGACGTATTTCCAGATGCTTTCTTTATCTCCCGTCTCACCTGAGCGTGTGGAGGCCTCGTGACGTCACAGTGCTGGGAAAGCAGCTCTGTGTGATGGCGCAGATGATTGAAGTCTTCATCACTGGTGAGCCACTTCCTCGTCATCATCCTTCTCATGTAGGGCTGGGAGTCAGCGAGGAAATTCAAGGAAAGAAAGAAATAATTTGGGATAGACATTGTACGCTCTACATCTTTTTATTCAGTTTTTGGTCAAACAAATGATGAAAAATGTGCAAAAAGACAACTCCCAGAATTGGACTACAGATTATAGACATAGTTGTATTCAGAGTATTTTAATTCCTGTTTATCTGAGATACGATTGTCTCTGTTATCAACGAAAGTGTAACAAGAGGTCAGAAGTTTCCTAAGTTTTATCTTTCAAGTCAATAATTCCAAACTTTATCATTGAAGGAAAACATAGAAAAGCTGCCTGAACTCAGCAGAAGAACACCAGAGATGTTGATTCACGAGCTAACCCCTCAGACAGGCTGGAGGGGACCGGCTTGTGCCGCTTTAATCCACACCGGGGAAGCGTCTCAGACCCGGAGCAGCTTCTCCACCATCCTTGCTGAACTTGAGGATCACAAAATCCCTCGAGACTTCAAAGATCACAGTTTGTTTATGCATCCGCCATTAAGCCAATAAGAAAAAGGAGATCACAAGTGATATAATTGTTTGACGTCATATGATGCTGTTCCTTTCCACTGCCAGGATTAAAGCCATAAAAACACCGTTGCACCTCTCGAAAGATGCTGGGAGCAAATAAGCTGTTAGGTCACGTGCATTGATGTAATCTACATAGATGAGACATCAAATCTCTGCAATAGTCTTATTTTACAAATGAAAGAACGTTGTACACTCATACCGTGTGTGATTTCCTGTCTAGCCCTATGCTAACTACAGCAGCAATAGAACCCAATCCCCTCTTTGGCAGTAGGGCATGGCGAGTCGCCTGAAATGTTCCACGCAGCGGCCGCTTTCGATCAGCTCATAGAAAATTCAAGGATCCTATTTGAAGGAGAGCCGCTGATTCCTCCAGTGTGGATTGGGGGTTAAGGTGCGATGACAGCAAAGTGATGAAGGATTTTATTTCCAGCAGCAACTGTTCACAAATTAGTTTTTTCTTACTGACTTTAATTTTAGTCACTGATGAAAACCAGACAGATGAGTTTTCCCCTTTTTCAGTTCCCATTAAAAAATAAACACTAAAAAAGTCTGATTCCTGCATGGATACAAACCAGAACTAAGCTTTAAACCCCCCCGAATTATTAGACACAATAGACTGCCATACCTTGATGTCCTCCTTGAACTGATCCTCCAGGGTTTGCCTCAGCCTGGCGATCAGCCACTTCACCTCCCCTCTGAACTCCTCGACCTCCTTTGGACAGCTGTCTTGGTACCCCTCCATGTGCTCCCTGCCGGAAAACCGTGTGTGTGGTAAAAACTCAGGTCTGTTCTATTGTTCGGAAGGTTTTAGTTATGACAGTAACCCTTTAAAGGGCTACATTTATTACAAGCGCAAAGTCAAAGAAAAATACCAAACTGAGATTTGATTTGTAGCTGTGCCAAATTAAACCAATCCCGTTCTTCCGTCATTAGAAGAGGTGCTTTAAGTGGACCGGCAGTATTGGCACAGTCTTACCTCAGCGTACCAGAACTTTTTCAAGCATACCAGAAGTGCCGTCACTTCTTCCAGCCAATCGAGATCAGAAACCAGTCAGTCTTCCACCCCTCCCCCCTGATTGGGACTCTTACAACTCAGGATAAAAACTAACAAGATCTGCACCATCGCTTCCTGCAAAAACCTTTTTATTGCTAAACGTTCTGAAATCATTTCAAGGCTGTTAGCTAAATAAAAAACACATTTTGGACACTAAAACATCTTAGACCCATCTTCCCCATGCCACACCTCCTGCCGGCGGCTCTCGTGTCCGGGGCCGGGTGTTGTGGCTTCTGCCGGCTACCTCCCTGTGGCTGCCTGGTGGGGCCTGGGCCCTGTTGGACCCGGGTCGTAACAACGCGTTATTGGCAGAGGTGTTTAGACAAATGCGAGAGAACCACTTTATTTACTGATCTTCAGCTTTCGCTGGAGCGGTTCGCAGCCGAGTGTGAAGCAGCTGGGATGAGAATCAGCTCCTCTAAATCTGAGACCACGGTCTTGATTCGGAAAAGGGTAGAATTCCTTCTCCGGGTCAGGGATGAGGTCCTGCCCCAAGTGGAGGAGTTTAAGTATCTCGGGGTCTTGTTCATGAGTGAGGGAAAGATGGAGCGTGAGATCGATAGGTGGATTGGTGCTGCATCTGCAGTGATGCGGGCGTTGTACCGGTCTGTAGTGGTGAAGAGAGAGCTGAGTCAGAAGGCAAAGCTCTCGATTTACCGGTCGATCTACGTTCCTACCCTCACCTATGGTCACGAGCTTTGGGTAGAGACCATAGGAATGAGATCGCAGATACAAGCGGCCGAAATGAGTTTTCTCCGAAGAGTGGCTGGGCTCTCCCTTAGAGATAGGGTGAGAAGCTCGGTCATCCGGGAGGGGCTCGGAGTAGACCCGCTGCTCGTCCACATCGAGAGGAGCCAGTTGAGGTGGCTCGGGCATCTGGTCAGGATGCCTCCTGGACGCCTCCCTGGTGAGGTTTTCTGGGCACGTCCAACCGGGAGGAGGCCTAAAGGTAGACCCAGGACACGGTGGAGGGACTATGTCTCTCACCTGGCCAGGGAACGCCTTGGGATTCCCCTGGAGGAGCTGGCCCAAGTGGCTGGGGAGAGGGAAGTCTGGGCCTCTCGTCTTAGGCTGCTGCCCCCGCGACCCGACACGGATAAGCGGATGGAAATGAATGGATTTTAATCTCCACAATATATTTATAGCTCTACTACGTCTGGACATTGTTAAGAGGAATAAAATAAGGTTTTAAGCAAATTTCTTCAGCAAATTTGCTAGTACTGCTTTAAAAGTAAACTAAAAGTTTTTTTTTGAGGTGTGGCATGATAGCGGACGCTGTAATGCTCCGTCTGTGGGAGTAAAATGTACGGCTTTTGTCGGCTCTCAGACATCCATTCAGGTCGCTTAACAGCTGAACGGAGATACACTAATAATTAAATAATAGGGCCAGAGTTTTATTTTGTTTCCAGAATCGATAAATATCTACAAATAATTACGTTTTGGAGTCAATGCAATTCAAATAGGCAATTATAATCGGTCCTGACCGTCACTAGGAGGCAGAACTTGTGGGGATTAACTATATGTACAGTGTTATAAACCAAATCAGCCACTGCTTTTTTTTCCAAACCTCAGCTTTCTGAAACAGAAAGTGATGATGAACACGGCAAAAACCATGTCTCTTCAAACCACACTGGGACTAGCCGAGACTGAAAGCAACACCTGCTGAGGTTTATGATAAATTCTCTCTTTTGCCCACATTAAATCTTACTTCGTCTTTTACAGGAAGCTCAGATTCACTAAAATCACATGGCATCATCTCTAAAGTCCACAGTCCTCATCACTGATGAGGACCAAGACAAGCTGGTGTGTGGACTGGACGTCAGAGGCAAGCTGAACAGATCCAGACAACTAAATGTTAGAAATGCAGCTTCTCGTGCCAAGCTGACTGGAAAACCCCCAACTGGTAAATAGCTCAGAGATGAGTCATTCATCCAACAGGCCCTGCAGCTTCCAGTAAACCGTCTGATCTCTAACACAAGCTAAGATTTATGCTGATCTTATGATTAATTCATTTGCAATACAAGCTTTTAGAAGTGAGGTGCTATTTTTGTTATATATAAGTAAGTAAAGTTTATCTTTACAGCACTCATCACAGAAAGAAAAATTACAATCCTTGGTCTCTACGTGGCTATGGCTCTGATGCAAAACCCAAATGTTTTATCTCAATATTTGTTTAATGCAAAATATTTAAAAATCCCAAAAGGCTTTTAGGTTTATTAAATACACGTGGGTAGGCTGCCTGTGTGTGGTTCAGGCTGCGCAAAGCACTCTCAAAAAGTCTTTATGGGCATCCGTGGGAAGTCACATGACTTACAGCAAAGCAGCAAAGCTGTTGATGTAGGTTATTAGATACTGGGCCCATAGAGGCTGTGGTTGGAAAGCGCTGCAATGACGTTTGAACTCCGTTTCAAACCTGCAGATCACAAAAGAGAAGACACGTCAGACAGCAAAACTTATTAATCATCTGGGAAATACATATGGAATCATTATTTTTGACACTTTATATGGTGATTTTTACACTACCAAGTGTTCCTTAACATGTGCTCTGCACGACTGAGTTGCATCATGTTGGTATTTCTGGCTTTTGCAATTCGCCGGCATTTGCTTTAGCCAAGGCTTGCTTAGTGATTTTACTGCATCCTAAACTGCAGCTGAGGCCTAAAATTAAATACGGGTTAAACGTTTCTGAAAGAAGCAAAACACTCTAGGTTTGTCCGTGTCTGTTCATTTAGCTAAAAAATGCTGAGTGTTAAGTTAAAAGTTAAAGTCCCATTAGTTGTCACACACACAGGTGTGTGTGCAAAATTTGTTCTCCACATTTGACCCATCCCCGGGGGGCGGTGAGCTGCAGACACAGCCGCGCTCGGGAACCATTTGGCGGTTTAACCCCCCAATCCAACCCTTAATGCTGAGTGTCAAGCAGGGAGGCATTGGGTGTCTTTTTTTCAAAGTCTTTGGTATGACCCGACCAGGAATCGAACCCTGATCTCCCAGTCTCAGGGCGGACACTCTACCACTAGGCCACTGAGCTGACACTTTCAACCTAAACATAAACTAAATCACCACTTAAACTCTCAAAAGAAAAATAAATAAATAAATAAACAGAAATATCTCATCTCATTATCAACGTTTGCATAAAATTTTTGTAAAACAAGATGTAAATCACACAGGTGATCCGTGTCGGATTCAAAACTGTGAATTTCGCCGAAAGGTGAGGATTTTCATGTCTGAAAATGAGAAAATTGTTATCAAAAATGTTGGAAAAGTGCATTTAGTCTCAAGCTTTCTTTTCCATTAGAAGATCCATCCTCCTGTTTAAAATGTCTCGGAATATCTTTCTTTAGACAAACCATGAAGTACAACCTGCACTTGTAATCCCTAGTATTAAATATGCCATTGTGTTGCCATACCGCTTGGGAAAGTTTTTTAACTCCCCGATGCAAGAAGAGGTAACTTTTTTCTCCAGGGAGGGTTCCAGTTTCCCACAGTTCACAATGGTTCCTTTCACTTTCTGTTAACAGAAGAGAGCTTTAACGTGAGCTTTCTGCTGCCGCCATGTGGACACATCTGTGTACTGCAAGGCAAAGGAGGGAGGCATCAGTAAATAAGAGGTTCTCAGTCCTGGTCCTAGAGGGCCAGTGTCCAGCGAGTTTTAGTTTTAACTCGGTTTCTGCACACCTGACTTAAATCAGCAGATGATTAACAGGCTTCTGCAGAGCTTTAGGAGCTGCAGCACAGGCGATTCAACCACTGAATCACGAGCTGGAGCAAAGAAACAACTAAAATGTGCTGGATACCGGCCCTCCGGGACCAGGACTGAGAACCACTGCACTGAATGACAATCTCATGTTTGTCAGTGTACACAACATGCCTTACCGTCCAGATGTCCATGTGAAATGGAGCGTTAAGGAAATTATCTTCTTTTTGGGGCATTTTGCGGTCTTTCCAAAAATCATCAAATTCAAGTTGGATGACTCTTTCAAGAGTTTCTCTCATGTCCTCCTGCAGCAGCAAACACAAAAATATTAACTTTCTAATTATGGGCCAAAGGGGTCGGTGCGGTGTGTGACGGGTGGTAGTCGAGGGCGGGGACCTTGGCCGTCTGATCCTCGGCTACAGAAGCTGGCTCTTGGTATGTGGCATGTCACCTCTCTGGTGGGAAAGGAGCCTGAGATGGTGTGTGAGGCTGAGAGGTTCTGACTAGATACAGTCGGACCAAGTCCCCACAATGCGGGACAGAAATTGAGGCCAATGCGGAAATGAAATAAATTGCAGTTCCAACCTCATCCACTGGGGGCTGGTGTCAGAAGCGAGCAAATCCTCATTGACTCCCATGTTAAAAATACCAATTTCACAGCAGAAATAAACATGTTTACAGCCTGGTACCAAAACATGTTTTTGGTTTAAATGATCTAGTTTACACTCATGACAACTCTGAGGGGGTGAATTTTTTCTCACTCTTCTGTTTAACTGTATTAAAAGCCTAAAATTCTGTATAATTAATGAGCATCAGACCCACGTGACCACAGAGCTAGCTCCGTGGAAAGGCCTCAGTAGAGCCTCGGCCTCGCCTGAAAACTGTTCCGGGATTTTGAGTCTGTGTGTGTGTATTCTTGTTTGGATATTTTTTTGTGCAATTGTTGGACAAAATGACTTGCTGTGGCATTAATTGCACTAATAGAGCGTCCAAGGAGTCTCCACTTCATTTATTTCGGTAAGTAAAATTATATTTATGTATTTTAGGTCACTGCCGAGCTGAGCTTAGATTTTAACATATACTGTTTAACCATGAAATTTAAATGTAATAGGGTAAAGCCCAGTGTATTTAACATAATGCTGCACTTTAGAAAATGGGTTGAAATATAACATGTTGGTGGAGCTGGGTTCCCACTATCGGCTTGTGGAGCTCTGGGAGACCGATGTTTTCCACCCTTATCCCCTCCCCGCAGCTTGGCGCATCTCTGTCTGATCACGGCTTCTGTCTGCTGTGCGGGCTGACGGCTTGTGGAGCTCTCGGAGACCTCTGTGTTCCACCCGGTTTTACCCAGCGGTCAGCCCGGCGTATCTCTGACTCAGAAGCTCTGGTGTTGTGCACAGTTAACTACGGTTGTAGCTAGGTTGCTACCTCCGTTAGCTTAGCTCCCACCTCTGCATTAGCTTTGGGTTAGCTTCAGGTTAGCTTGTAGCTAGTTCGACTGGGTGTCGTCAGTTGATACCAGCCGTACAGCCCCACCATCACCTCCACCCCTCTTCCATTTTGTGGAATTGTCTGGGCTTGATGGAACCTGTGACACGGTCAAAATGGCGGTGGTGGCCACCTCCCATTTCCCCTGAAAAACGTGCTATTGGAGCCTATGGAAATGAATTGTCCACTATATATGTCAATGTTTCAGAGTGATGGTGCATCAGGGTAAGAAGGGAGGCAGATGAAGTGATGCACCCATCATGCCTAGTGTCTACTGTACAAGCCTGTGGGGGCAGTGCTATGATCTGGGCTTGCTGCAGGTGGTCACGTCTAGGTTCAGCAACAGGATGTGCTCCAAGAACGAGGTCAGCTGACTACCTGAATATGCTGAATGACCAGATAATTCCATCTTCCCTGACGGCACGAGCATATTTCAGGATGACAATGCCAGGATCCATCGGGGTCAGATAGTGAAAGAGTGGTTCAGGGAGCATGGGACATCATTTTCACACTTGGATGGGCCACCACAGAGTCCAGACCTTAACCGCATTGAGAACCTTTGGGATGTGCTGGAGAAGGCTTTGTGCAGCGGTAAGACTCTACCATCATCAATGAAAGATCTTGGTGAGACATTAATGCAACACTGGATGGAGATAAATCTGGTGACGCTGCAGAAGCTTATCGAAACAACGCCACAGCGAATGTGAGTCGTAGTCAAAGCTAAAGGCGGTCCAACAAAATATTAAGCTGCTTTTACAGAACCAGAGCGTTTGCAAAACGGGATCTGCCGTGGCTCCCTGGGGAGGACAAAGGTCGTTTATAAGATCAGACCGTGGCGGTAATGTGACGCAATCGTGGCAATTTTATAAAAGATTAGGTGATGGCGGCATTAAGAGGGCATGGGGCGGTCTCTGTGCTGCTGCAGACTCCCGTTTATCTTGGACATAACTTGCTTTTTATTGTGATTGAAGCCGTGATCGTTACTTTTTTTAACAAGCAGCTCCTAAAGGTGTCTGTCCCCATCAGTCCCTGTGCAGTCTCTGGTGATCTGAGCTTCAGCTCTAACAGAGAGGCTCGTGGAGCGCTGCGGCGCTCCAGTCTGCCATCTCAGCTGATTTTGTTCAAAAAGCAAACCTTACTGCCCGTGTTTACTTTCATTTTCAATAAATTTGCCAGCCGGAGCTCAGCGATGACTCCCCACGTCATAATGACATCTGCCTCTGTTGCGCCAGGGCGCACACGACAGACCATTACCGCAATTTTACTACCAAACGGGGCGGAACGAATGCCGCAAAATTCACGCAACGCCATGCCGGCATGGCGCGTTTATAGACATTCATTGCGGTAATATTACGCCGAGTTGCCGGCATGGTGTGTGTTGTAAAAAGGGCTTTTGAGTGTGTGACCTTTTTTTTGGGCTGGGTAGTGTATTTTGCTACTGAAACAGTTGGTCTAGATTTTGAAGTAACCTCACCTTCACCTTGCAGCAGAACTTGTCTTTCAGCTGTTTGAGGAAGTTTTCCTCCAGCTGCAAAACTGTGTGTTCTTCAGTTATCTCTGGCTGCAAGGAGGGACAGCTCATGATCTTCTCACTGCAAAGAAACAAAACATGATTCATTACATTTCATAGACCGTCAGCAAGCACCAAATAACTTTTAATAAATAGCTTCATAAGACAAATTAAAGTAGGCTAAAACCTGATGGTTCAGATTTGTTTCAGACGTTTGAGATATTTAACACAAAGCATCAGTTAACTGAGCATAATTGTTACCTAAAGAATACCTAAGAGTACAAAATGTGCATGACTGCTATTTGAAAGAAAGTGCGTTCATTCGTTTTTAAAACTGCTTTATGAAGTTTCAATCAGACTTTTTCTAATATGTGAACAATGTGAACATGGCCTTATTTAAACATTGTAATTTGGGTGTCAATATTTTTATTAGATACACTTTTATTTTTGGTTTCCCAAATCCTGCTTTAAGGATATATCATTTGGAATGGTGTGATTAAACAACAGAAAAGGGTAACTCTGCAATGTTGCTTCTTCTGACCCAAACCGCTCCCCTACTGCTTCTCCTCAGTGCTGCTACTGCAGTACAGAAAATGTTTAACCTACTTTATACTTCTCCATCAGCAGATTTGCACTCACACGTAAACAATGAGACATTTTCCTTTTTTACTTCCCCATTGGTGTGTTAGTGTTTCCCAGCCAGGACAGCAGGGGGCGTATACAGTACCTTTTCTGGCATGATTTCCTAGTACAGTGATCCCTCGCTACTTCGCGGTTCGTTTATCGCAGATTCACGACTTCGCAGATTTTTTCTTTGGAGCCTTATTCAAGGGAAATTCGCCGATTCGCGGTACTTTTCACCGATTCGCGGTATTTTTCTATGCGAAATATCAAGAAATTCCTGTTTTTTTTCATCAATTTCATCATAAAATGCACTTTTTGTAATAAAACTATAAAAAAACCAAGTAAAAATACAGTACTATGTAAAGGGAGGGTTTTAAAAGTCTGAATGCTGAATACGTACCTGTTAAATAAATACTGTAAATATGGTGTCCCTACTTCGCGGATTTTCACCTATCGCGGCCAGGTCTGGAACGCATCTACCGCGATAAAGGATGGATCACTGTATTGCAGTGACATCTCTGGTGGATGATTTACTTCAACTTGAAAATGCAAATGTCTTGAAGAAGGTAAGAATTTAAATTATATTTTGGATTCTAGTGTTTGCCATCTTACCGTGGAGGAGGGGTTAGAGTGTCCCATTGATCCTAGGAGCTAAGTTGTCTGAGGCTTTATGCCTCTGGTAGGGTCACCCATGGCTAACAGGTTCTAGGTGAGGGATCAGACAAAGCACAGCCCAAAGACCCCTTATGTTTCCTCAGATGGAAACAGTTTTCCCTCACCCGGACGCGGGTCACAAGGGCCACACCTCAGGGGCTAGGCCTGGGGTTGGGGCATGTTAGCGAGCACCTGGTTGCTGGGCTTTTCCTCGTGGAGCCCAGCCTAGCATAGCCCGAAGACGAGAGATGGTTCCCCCTCCCATGAGCTCTTCACTCATGGAAGGGGCCAAAGGGGTTGGGTGCATTGTTTCAGGTGGTAGGCAGGGACCTTGGCAGTATGATCCTCAGCTACATGGTACATGTAATGTCACCTGTCTGGTGGAGAAAGTCAAAGTTGGTGTGTGAGGTTGAGAGGTCCTGACTAGATATAGTCTGACTCACCTCAACGCACGGCTCTGGCCCTGGAGCCAGTTTCCCCGAGAGGGATTGGACTTTCGACCATTCTGGAGTTGTTCCTACTGAGAGGCACAGAGCAGGGGTGGGCCTACTAGCTGCCTCCCATCTTGGTGCCTGCATGCTGGGGTTTACCCCGGGGACTGAGCAGGTAGCCTTCCTCCTCCTGCGTGTGGGAGGATGCATCTTGACTGTGGTTTGTGCTTATGCACCAAACTGCAGCTCAGACTACCCGCTACAGAGCACTCCTTCTGGGGACTTCCTCGTTCTCCTGGGGGACTTCAATGCTCACGTATGGACGTGGGTTGTCCATAATGAACACCATGTTCAGACATAAAGGTGTCCATATGTGCTCTTGGCACCAGGATACCTTAGGCCGCAGCTCGATGATCGACTTTGTTGCTGTTTCGTCTGACCTGCGGCCGCATGTCTTGGACACTCGGGTGAAGAGAGGGGCGGAGCTGTCAAGTGACCACTACCTGGTGGTGAGTTGGCTTCTGGCAGGCCTAAACGTGTTGTGAGGCTCTGCTGGGAACATCTGGCAGAGTCTCCTGTCAGAATTTTGAACACGTTCCGACAGAAGCGGGGTACATTGAGTCTGAGCGGGCCATATTCCATGCAGCGCCTGTCATGGTGGCAACCCCCGAACACCAGCTGTCATTCATTCATTCATTCATTTATAAAGCACCTTCCTTAACCTTGGCAGAAGCCCAAGGTGCTGAACACAGCCAACAGGTAACAATCAAAAAATGTTAAAACTTAAAAACCAATAAAAGAGCATAAAACAAGATGATTAAATCAAGGCAGTGTTGCAATCCTCAACGCTGAAAGGCCTGATCAATGTCATGGGTTTTCAGGCGGGACTGAAAACCCACGGGCCTCATTTATCAACAGCACTCATGCACAGATCCGTGCGTATATCGCCAGTAGGAACTAATCATGCATTGTGTGGTATTCATCATTTAGTACCTGTGTGTGAAAATGTTCCTAATTATGAGGAAACTTCCGAACACGCGTAGGAACAGCATCTAGTAGTAGAACGTAGGAACCGCAACACCGAAGGTCTCAGTCATCCACTGATGCTCCTCATCCACCAATTATTTTAGCCAATAAATCGCTGTTTGGGTGGAAGAGCAGCTGTGTCACATAATTGGTGCTAAAACACTCAGCGAGAATCGGACATTGTAGAATGGATTTTGTGTTTTTTGTAATCACAATTGTTACTCTTCCCATTTTTATGATGTTCTTAAATGTTTTTAATTAATTAATATTATTTTAAATTCAATGTTATTACATTATGTTGTCCTTGTAAAGCGCCTCATGGTTCTGCTTGAGATGCGTTAGATACGATTGTTTCTTATTATGCTGAAATGATGCATTTCAATAGTAACACAAACAGTGTGTGTGTGCGTGCGTGCGTGTGTGTGTGTGTGTGTGTGCGTGCGTGCGTGTGTGTGTGTGTTTCTACAATTGTCGAGCAGTTATCTGAGAGGGTAAGGAGAAAACTTCCTGACCTCTCGTATTCGTTAAGGATCCAATCCAGCAGAGCGTACAGATCCTTGAGCTCCGTCACCTCTGGCTCCAGCTTCTTCAGGTGCTGCCCGACCACTTTGTGGTATTTCGTCACATAGGTGCTAAAAACCCTAAAGCTGGCAGGGTAGGAGATTTTCAGATCTCTCTTCACATTTTCTAGATCTTCCACAATGGTTTTACCCAGCAGACCAAGATGAACAGCCAACCAGGAGGAGTTCTGTTCTCTTTGATCCAGGTGAACATTATTCACCTTCACCCGCACACCTTCATACACCGACTCCCTCCAGGCTTCCATCCAGCTGTCTGGTAGTCCTCCTGGTTCTCCAGCCCTCCTTTCCTCCTCTTGGATGATGCAAGCTATTGGGACCAGCAGCGTCTTGTTACTTACGGGAAGGGAGTTAGACTCACGGACGATTGTGCTGATCTTGTTTCGAAGATCTCTGTATAGCAGGTTCAAGTCTTTTTCCTTCTTTGAAAGTTCCACAGAACAGTCTGCAGCACGTTGCTCCCTCTCCTTCTGATACTCCAAACGCAAGGAGAGCAAGTTCACATGAGCCACCTCCAGTACCTCCACTTCTATCATCTTGCTTATCTGCATCACTGTGACAAAACAAATAAGTAGAGATTAATTCATTTGTGAAAAACAATAGAAGTCCATATAAATAGATGTGTGATGTTAAACAAGTGTGCTGTTAAACATTGAGGTGTACTGCTGCCTCTGTGTCTCTTTGTTTCTCTGCTGTGTCGGCTGGTTGTGTGGCAGTGCTGCCTTGAGAAATGACCATCTGGGATCCTAAGTCCAGGTTTTGCCTGCAAGCAGGTGGGCATGGTTGGTCATCGGGTGCTATATCTGGTGTCTCAGTGCAGCAGTGATGTTTGGGTTGGTCTTGGTCCATGCACAAGTTTGAAGGGAGCTTGTGGTTCTCTGGATCAGCGCGTGGCTGGGTTAGGGTTAAAGGATCGGCCCGTGTGCAAAACTGCCTCGTCTCATGGTAAGTGCTCCAAGTTCGTCCATTTTGTTTGATTGATCGTCATCTTATAAATTTGAGTGTTTTCATTAGTTAGCGAATTTCTTTTGATTTGTTTGTTTTTGTTCCTGTGATAGCACGTTGGTTTTTATTGGGGGGGGGGGGGGGGGGGGGGGGGGTATTTTGTTAGGTCGACACCTGCTTCCCCAGCTGGGTGATTTTATGCATGTACTCTGAGTCCTGCATGTTTTAAGTACCACTTGTTAAAGGAGACATGTCATTGAAATTCTACTTTTTGGAGCTTTTTACAATGTGATATTATTGTTTCCTCATTAAAATGACCACAAATCTGTTTTTGGCTGCATATCTATATACACACAGACAGACAGACAGGTACTGCAGCAAAGCAGGTTATTTTGTGCTTTATACATTATCTGTGCCATTTTATATTCAACTAAATCATAACATGTCAGGGTATTCAGATTAATAAACATAATGTTAGTTGGTTCTAGATTGGTTTATAATTCTTACAGCTCTTTTTTGTAACTTGAAAATAGTTGGGGTTAGGTTAGTTAGAGTATTTGGTTTATATGCATTACCCCGTATCTCCAGACAATAAGTCATATATGGAAGCAACAGAACACAATTACGTGTGTGTAATGATTTCTAGTTCAGGACATGCTTTGTTTTGTAGAGAATAGCAATGGTTTTTGACATTTTTGTTTTCACGTGGTTTACGTGAGACGTCCAACTTAACTTATCAAGTATCACTCCTAGAAATGTTTTTCGTACACTCTTTCAATTCAGTTCCACTGACCCTGATTTTAGATATATTTTTCATTTGTCTAGTGACAAAAATAATCAATTTAGTTTTCTTTATATTTAACAATAACTTATTTATATCATATAAATAAAAAATAAAGAGAGAAAGAGACTGGTCTGGAAACACTAGAGACAAAGCTGCAGTTTTGATGTCCAACCTGTAGCTGCAGCATTGGTACAACTAGGAAGAAGGTCACAAGTATAAACTTTAGTGTGCGTGCGTGTGTGTGTGTATACAGGTGCTGGCCAGTAAATTAGAATATCATCAAAAGGTTGAAAATATTTCAGTAATTCCATTCAAAACGTGAAACTTGTACATTATATTCATGCAATGCACACAGACCAATGTATTTCCAATGTTCATTACATTTAAATTTGATATTCATAAGTGACAACTAATGAAAACTCCAAATTTGGTATCTCAAAAAATTAGAATATTCTGAAAAGGCTGAATATAGAAGACACCTGCTGCCACTCTAATCAGCTGATTTACTCAAAACACCTGCAAAGGCCTTTAAAAGGTCCCTCAGTCTTGTTTTGAAGGCACCACAATCATGGGGAAGACTTCTGACTTAACAGCTGTCCAAAAGACAATCATTGACACCTTGCACAAGGAGGGCAAGACACAAAAGGTGATTGCTAAAGAAGCTGGCTGTTCGCAGAGCTCTGTGTCCAAGCACATTAACAGACAGGCGAAGGGACGGAAAAAATGTGGTAGAAAAAAGTGTACAAGCTCTAGGGATAACCGCACCCTGCAGAGAATTGTGACGACAAACCCATTCAAAAATGTGGGGGAGATCCACAAAGAGTGGACTGCAGCTGGAGTCAGCGCTTCAAGAACCACCACGAGGAGACTCATGAAAGACATGGGATTCAGGTGTCGCATTCCGTGTGTCAAGCCACTCTTGAACAAGAAACAGCGCAAGAAGCGTCTCGCCTGGGCCAAGGACAAAAAGGACTGGACTGATGCTGAGTGGTCCAAAGTTATGTTTTCTGATGAAAGCAAGTTCTGCATTTCCTTTGGAAATCAAGGACCCAGAGTCTGGAGGAAGAGCGGAGAAGCACAGAATCCACGTTGCATGAGGTCCAGTGTAAAGTTTCCACCGTCAGTGATGGTGTGGGGTGCCATGTCATCTGCCGGTGTTGGCCCACTCTGTTTCCTGAGGTCCAGGGTCAATGCAGCCGTCTACCAGGAAGTTTTAGAGCACTTCATGCTTCCTGCTGCTGACCAACTTTATGGGGATGCAGACTTCACCTTTCAACAGGACTTGGCACCTGCACACAGTGCCAAAACCACCAGCACCTGGTTCAAGGACCATGGTATCCCTGTCCTTGATTGGCCAGCAAACTCGCCTGACCTTAACCCCATAGAAAATCTATGGGGTATTGTGAAGCGGAGGATGCAATACGCTAGACCCAACAATGCAGAGGAGCTGAAGACGACTATCAGAGCAACCTGGGCTCTCATAACACCTGAGCAGTGCCACAGACTGATCGAGTCCATGCCACGCCGCATTACTGCAGTTATTGAGGCAAAAGGAGCCCCGACTAAGTATTGAGTGCTATACATGCACATTCTTTTCATGTTCATTCTTTTCAGTTGGCCAACATTAGAGAAACAAACATTTTTTCATTGGCCTTTAGAATATTCTAATTTTCTGAGATACCAGATTTGATGTTTTCATTGGTTGTCACCTATAAATATCAAAATTAAACGTAATAAACATCGGAAATACATTGGTCTGTGTGCATTGCATGAATATAATGTACAAGTTTCACGTTTTGAATGGAATTACTGAAATATTTTCAACCTTTTGATGATATTCTAATTTACTGGCCAGCACCTGTAGTACAGGCCGAAAGTTTGGACACACCTTCTCATTGAGTGTTTTCTTCATTTTCATGACCATGACCATTTAGAAAGGGGCCAACAAGTGCTAAACACCTCTGGAAACGCCTTCAGGACTGTTGGAAAACCATTTCAGGTGACTCCCTCTGGAAGCTCATCAACAGAATGCCAAGAGTGTGTAAAGCAGTAATCAGAGCTAAAGGTGGCTGTTGTGAAGAAAATAGAATATAAAACCTGTTTTGAGTTATTTCACCTTTTTTGGTTAAGTGCATAACTCCTCATGTGTTCATAGTTTTGATGCCTTCCCAATGTAAATGGTCATGTACATAAAGACAACACATTGAATGAGAAGGTGTGTCCACACTTGTGGCCTGTACGGTGTGTCTGAATAAACAGATGATATTTCTACATCTATGAGAAATCCACATTTCAAGGCAAGAGATCTTGTAGACTACCTGAGGGTGGTGTCTGAGGTATTTCTGGTAGTGTGTACAGTTCTTCAACCTCCTTAATTATCTCCTCCTTCTTGTCCGTCTTCTCTAGCAGGTCATCAGCTAAAGGAGGCCCCTGTTTGCTGTTCCTTTCCCCATCCCTTTTATTACCAAACCTCAGGCTTCGACGGAAAGAAGCTCCTTTTTTCATGAAGGAGTCACCCAACCGAGACGAAGTGGCATCTGACGAGGAAGAACATGCAAAAGGACATTATTCATGAGTCCGACAAAAGGAGCTTTGTGGATGTGCAGTGGATCATCTCTTTATAGAGTACAGGTTAGAGGCACAGCATTATGTGTCTGTCTGCATGGAGACCTCAGCCAACAGTGGATTCTTTAGTAGTGAAATAATGATCAAGAATGAAAAAATGTCAACGATTTCCTTTCCAAGCACAAGATGTTGTTAGTTTAAACAGAAAATTCAAATACAGCTTTTGGCTCAACCTTTCAGGTGTCTCTACTGTGACTCATGTCTCAGTTTGGTCCTGTCTTCTGCATCATTCTTTACTCTCACACCAGCTAACTTCATCTCATCCTTCACCGCATCCATACTTCTCCTTACTGGGTCTTCTCTCAGGCTCGAGCCTGGTGGCTTCCACCTCAGCATCCCTCTATGTATAATCATTGTCCCTGCATTGGACATGTCCAAACCATCCCAGTCTTCTCTGACTTCATCTCCTCTGATGGACTCACCCCAAAATTCCACTATCTCCGCTCCGGCGCGAACTCCGCAGCAAAAACGGTCCCGTTGTAGTCAGTCAGAGCTGTTCCAGTACTGCGGCCGTGCGGCGCAGTGCGCCGTTCCGCCATCCGGCAAAAATAGAATCGATCCTATTTTTGCCGGACGCCGGAGCACCTCCGCAGTCAATGGACAGAAATCACAACCGCCCAACAGGAAAGGGAGCAAGCACAACTTCCGTTATTTCTTAATAAATCGATTAAAAAAAGGCATTTTTTGTTTCATATGCACAGGTTTAACAACTTTTAACAACTATCAATGGCGGTTGAACTTTAAATGCACAAAAATAAGCCATAAATACAGTTTCCACTATCAAAGTAGTCACACTTTGTTGATCCAAACACTGCTGATCTCTCAACACAAATGATGGGCAGATAAAACAGTTCATTTCGATGCTTCTCCCACACAACGGGTGTTTGGATCTAACTTCCGCGTTTATTGCTCGGACTGTATCGCAAGATCTCAAAAATCCTGCGCATGTCTGTTTGCCCACCTCAGGTCTCCGCACCGGAGCGGAGCCGTCGTAGAGCGGGTATAGTATAATTTGAGTTCGGAAGCGAGCGGAGGCGGAGCGGTGCGAGTGGAATTTTGGGGTTACTCCTGGTTCCAACATCATCAATGCCAAAGAGAAGAGGAACATGTTGAGCTCTTCTGCCTACAGTACTGCCTCCTCTCTGTTCCTCATGAACAAACATGGCTGGCTAATGTCTTCCACACCTTTACTTTCATTCTTGCTAAAACCCTTTCATCACACTTCACTCTCCCTATCCTTGCTCAGCCTAACTTGCATTTCCCGGTACTCCTGTCTATGCTTCTCAGTCTTCTTGGGGTCCCACTTCTTCTAAGCCAACTTTTTTCTCTGTGTAAGCACCTGGGCCCTCATTTATCCAACTTTTGTAGAAACTGTCCTATTTTCCATCCTACGACTACAATTTAGAATGTTTGTACCAAAAGCCCAAATTCTGATTTATGAAACATGCGGTGGCCGCTTGTACGCATGTTCCTCCACAGTCGACAGTCTACAAATCCCACATGTGCGTACATCGGCACCCTTGCTTTGTTAACGAGAAAAATGGCAATTTGCGAAGATAGACAGCAGTGCATGTGCAAGAGCGTAATGTTGTTAGTTGCTGTGGGCGAGCTGTAAACAGAGCAAGCAGCACGGCAGAGAGAAAGCCTCTAAAGTTTGGGTCCACTTCGCTAAACGGTGAAATGGTAGATGGTCTGTGTCTGTAGCCAGTGTTGGGCGAGTTACTTCAAAACTGTAATGCATTATTTATTACTTGTTACCCTCATTTTAAAGTAATTCATTACATTACAATATTACTGATTTTAAAATGTAAGGCATTACACTACTTTTGCATTACTCCAAGTTACTTTCACCAAAACAACTTCAATATGGATCTGGTCATGTGACGCTCAGTGAGCTCATGACATATATGTGGAAGGTGATGTGGTGTCTGAGCTAGGATTGCTGTTAAAAACAGTCAGATATAATAACAGTGCTTCAAAACGATTGTTTATTAAATAAAAGCAACAACAATCTGTACTCTCAGCACGCTGCCATCTTAGATTAACTGAGCAGGGAGTGAGGTGGTGGGGGCTCCAAGCCTATATTTGCCTTGGTCCCCAAATGCCTTGATACGGCCCTGGATGTGGGACTGACTTCTGGGGTGATCTGATTCTATCACATGTATAAATATTAAATGCTTATATATTATTGCTTTTCACTGGTAAAAATGTGTATTGAGGATAAGTCTACCTACTTTCTTTCTTTTCAAGCACTTTGTTTTGTTTTCTTGATTTTATATGAATAATTTTCTGCCCTTTCTCTAACCTTCCTGCATGCTGCATGTTCTCTTCGTCTTCCAGAAAAACTGTAAACTAGATTTCCTACTTTCTAACTAATCAGCCAAAGGGATCTACCGAACGCAAAAAAAATTAAAAAATAAAAATAAATAAATAAATAAAAGCTTAATATGCGCTGCGCTCCAGCAGCAATGAGTTGAAATCACCGGGGCACAGATTATGAACTCAGCTGAAAAGTACATGAAGTACCAGAGAATATGGGCTGATATAAACGATCGCAAACGAATGACTTTGTTTTGGTGGAGCGATTTTGTGAATATAACAGCGGCCGCATGCAGGAAGCAGCTGGAGTATTTGAGCCATCACCGCTGCGTCCTCTCTGCTCATAGAATGCCCGCAAAGCTGAGTCCATAAATGACGTCATATATGTGGATACTGGATCTTTTTTCAGGCTTCCTGCAATTAGAATTTTTAGAAGACCCGCATCTTGATTCTGGGTTTAAAAATGCATTGTAATTACCGCGTTACTGACAATTGTACCGAGTAAATATTACCATTTTCTTTCTCTGTAATACCTTACATTACCACATTACAGAAAAAAGCAATGCATTACAGTAATTAATTACGTTTGTACCGCGTTACTGACAATTGTACCGAGTAAATATTACCATTTTCTTTCTCTGTAATGCCTTACATTACCGCATTACAGCAAAAAGCAATGCATTACAGTAATTAATTACGTTTGTACCGCGTTACTCCCAACACTGTTTGTAACTACAGCTGCCCTGGGGCGCGCTGACAGAGGTGAGGCGCCACCGGTTCCTGGGGCCACCAGCAGCAGGCAAGGTGGGTTAAGTGTCTTATCCAAGGACACAACAGCAGCATTCTCTGGTGGGAGTCAGGATCGAACCTCCGACCTTCCGACTACCAGACAACCCGCTCTACCTCTTGAGCTGCTGCTGTCCCCAGATTATGCGATGGGTGACTGGGTGATGATGACATCGACAAGCTAAGTGAGGCATCATCTTCTTAATCTGCTCCAGCAGGTAAATAAATGGTGCTTGATACTTTAGCTTCTGCTGCTATCAGCTAATGGTGCGTTCGCTTTCTCCTCGAAACTCGAAAATTCCGACTTCCGAGCAAGAAAAATCCACAGTTTGAAAAAGAACAGCAAAAGGAATGAAGATACACGGTAAATTTAGTTCACAGCAGAGATGTTGGCTTCAGTTTCTAATGCTACAAGGACCCACCGTCACACAATTCATCCAGAGGGGAAAGAGGAGGATCAGGAGTCCATGGAGCTGAGTTTTAGTTTGTGAAATAGTACAATGTTAAAACACAGACTGTTGTATGGTATCTAAGTTTGTTTTAGTTTCATCTGTAGGTTATAATACATGCTCTCCTCATCAGTTATTCCAGAGGATTAGAAAAGGATTAGGAGAACGTGGAGCTGGGTTTGTGTATCATTTAGAAACAGTTGTGGTTAAAGGGTCTCATACTGAAGAATTTTGTACAACTCTACGGACATAAAATACAGTTTGTATGTTTTTTATCGTGACATTTATCAAATATGGTTATATATATATTGAGATTAAAAAATTCATTAAAAAAGAGATTTAATTAATTATTAAACACACAAAAGTGTTGACAATTGTTACTGTTAAGTACCGGTATTTTTTCCTAAGTACCAGGAATTGGTACTATATAGATTCAAATGTCAAAGGTACCCATTCCTACCTGTGAGACAAACAACACTATTCCCTCCTAAATCACCTGAAATGTAAATGCAATTAGGATGCCCCCAACACAAGCCTCTGCTTGTATCCAGACATCGAACAGGTACAGTGGCCCCTTATGTTGCATCATGTTCAGACAGAGCTCTTAAGAGAAGAAATACCTGAACTTTCTATGAGGATCAAATGAGACAACATGCAGGTTTCTCGTGTAAACTACATGTTTTACAGCAGGGGTGTCCAATCCTGGTCCTGGAGGGCCGGTAACCAGCAGGTGTTGGGGTTTTTCTGCTTCAACATGCTTGATTAGCTGGTTGAATCACCTGTGCAGCAGCTCATCAGGCTCTGCAGAAGCCTGTTAATCACCTGCTGATTGAAATCAGGTGTGTTGAAGCAGGTTAAAACGACAACGTGCTGGATACCGGCCCTCGAGGACCAGGATCGGACACCCCTGTTTTACAGTGTTTCTTTGGAGCAGCCATGATCCCTGCTGTAGATGATGCTTTGATCAGCTTCAGCTTGGAGGACCGGAAATGAGGTCTGACCAGAGTTATGGCTACTCTGAGAGGAGCTCAGATACAAAGTGTCTTACAACGAAGCTGTAGAAAATGCCAGGTCTTCTTTCTTCAGCAACCTCATATGTCAAAATAAGAATAATCCTAAGGTTTTGTTTGATACCATCTCCAGCATCGTGTCTTCTCCTCCGCAGCAGGCTCAGCTATCTTCAGCTGATGACTGTCACAGATTTCTCCACTTTTTTGAAAACAAGGTGCTGAATCTGAGATCCAGCATTCCACCAGCCCTCGCCCCCTCAGGAGGGGAGGCCCCCCAGTGCTCCGAGTCTTTCACCTCCTTCTCCCCAATTACACTAAATGACTTAACCTCAATAATCAGTCAGATGAAACTCTCATCATGCTCATCAGATATCTTAACTCCCTCTGTTTTAGTCGGGTCCCTTGCCTCTATCAGTCCATCTCTGTTGACTATAATCAACAGCTCACTGAGCCAAGGCTGTGTTCCATCTTACTTTAAAAATGCAGTAGTGACTCCTCTCTTAAAGAAACCCAACCTTGACGCCAGCTCCACCAGTAACTTTAGGCCCATTTCTAAGCTACCTTTCATCAGCAAAGTACTTGAGAAGGTTGTTGAAACCCAACTCAGATCCTGGTTTTCTAATTCAAAGATCTCTGACCCCTTCCAGTCTGGCTTTCTGAAGCAGCACTCAACTGAGGCCTAGTCCACACGTAGCCGGGTTTTTTAAAAACGAATATCCGCCCCTCCAAAAACTTGCATCCACACCACCACGTTTTAAAAGAAAACTCTGTCCACACGTACCGGATAAATACGTTGATAAGGACATGCCAGACCTGTAGGCGGCAGTACTTCCCCCGTTCTTAACCTCGTCCTTCGTCTGTGGTCTTCCGCAAGGAGCAGTAATTCCGCTTGCAAAAACAAACAAGCAAAAAGCACTTGGACAATTGATAAAGCGAGCGCAGCTCTGAGGGCATCCATGATGCCGGCTAGTGTAAACACAGGTCGCACACGTGATGTCAGCATTTTTCTGTCGCGGAAAGTGACGTTGCGGACCTTAAAACTCCGGTTTTGTCCGTCCACACGCAGACACCCAAAACGGAGAAAACGCAGATCTTCACTTTGGCCGGAGTTTTTAAAAAGATCTGCTTTCGTGTGAAAAAACTCCGTTTTCGTGTGGATGTCAGGCCAAAACGAAGGAAAATATCTACATTTTGGCAGATCCCCGGCTACGTGTGGACAGGGCCTGAGACTGCTCTAGTAAGGGTGCATAATGACCTCCTGATGGCTGCTGATGCAGGGAAATACTCTGTCATGGTCCTGCTCGACCTCAGTGCAGCTTTTGACACTGTAGACCACAACGTTCTACTAAACAGGTTAAAGGCCCTGGCTGGGATTTCAGGTTCTGCTCTAGACTGGCTCTCCTCCTATCTCACTAACAGAACATTCACAGTGAAGTCCGAAACCTTCTCTTCAGATACTGCCTCTCTAACATGTGGGGTTCCACAAGGTTCAGTTCTAGGGCCTCTATTTGCATTCTATATTCTTCCCCTAGTTGGCATCATTCAGTCTTTCCCAGACATCTCCTACCACATCTACGCTGATGATATTCAGCTCTATATGTCCTTTATGCCACACCAGTTGGACAGGCTGGCCACCCTTGTACTCTGCCTGACCCAGATCAGTAACTGGCTGTCCAGCAACTTTCTTGTATTAAATGCTAACAAGACAGAGACCCTGTTCTCTGCACCCCCGGAACTTCAGCCAAAAATCGAGCAAGAAATTGCCTCTTTTTGCCCATCAGCCAAAGCCAACATTAGAAACATAGGAGTTATTTTTGATCCAGCTTTAAGTTTAGACTCACACGTCAAAACCATCTCCCGCTCTTGTTTCTTTCAACTGAGAAACATTTCAAAAGTCCGTAAACTGGTTTCTACTGCAGATCTGGAAAAAATCATCCATGCCTTTGTGTCATCACGCTTAGACTACTGTAACGCTCTTTTTACTGGTCTCAGCAAAACCTCCCTCTCACGCCTTCAAGCCATCCAAAATGCAGCAGCCAGACTCCTAACCAAATCCAGCAGACAAGCTCACATCACTCCAGTTTTACAGTCCCTCCACTGGCTCCCGGTAGAATATAGAATACAGTTTAAAGTTTTAGTCCTGACCTATAGAGCTCTTAACAACCAAGCTCCAAGCTACCTATCTGAGCTTTTATCCCCACACACCACCTCTCAGAACCTTAGATCCACATCTGAAAACCTCCTGGCTGTTCCTCGAACCAGACTGAAAACTAAAGGGGACAGGGCCTTTCAGACTATTGCACCCAGACTTTGGAACAGTCTACCTTCAAATCTCCGTCTCTCTAAAGCCGGGCATACACTGTGCGACTTTTTCACTCGCAGCGTTCAGCTTCAGCTCAAACTGTACGACTTCCTCGCGGAGCAGATCTCACGAGTCATGTGCTCACACTGCACGACCCAGTTCTCGCATGCGACCTGACTGCTCACACTGTACGTCTGGTAGCAACACGTCGGCCCTAAAAATATGCTAAAAATAGCAGTTTTTACACAACACGTCAGACTTTTTTGTCTTGTTTTGCCTGTTGTCCTTCGGGAGTGCTGCAGGAGGACACACAGGGATTTATGGGGTTGGATGAGGAAAACGAAATAAAGAAAGTAAATCTGTGTTTTGTGATCAGTTTAATTTGGCATGAACACAACAAACACGCTTTCTTGACAATCTTTGTGAGTAAAAAAACGTGTTGAAACAAAAACGAACAGCGTGTGTTATTAGGGAAATAGCGAGCGGCGTTGATGCAGGATTGCGCCGTGAGCGGTTCTGATACTTTTTGGGTCGCAGCTGCTCGCAGCGCCGCTTCAACAGTGCGATACCCTCACGAGGGACGAGCAAAATATCAAACACGCCAGAAGTCCGTGCGACCTCACGACTGCTGATCGGCAGCTGGTCACGTGGTGTTAATCGCCTCTCGTAACCCCCTGTACACTACACGACCGCTCGGCGCAAAACTCGCCCCGATGTCGTGGATTCTCGCATGACTGGAAAATCGGCTCAAAAAAGTGAAAAAGTCGCACAGTGTACGCCCGGCTTAACACTGTAGAGGTCTTTAAAAATCATCTAAAAACTCACCTTTTCATCCAGGCGTTCCCTCCCTAAATGTTTCAGAAAGATGGCTTTGTTCGGGTTCACACCTTCACTTTGTTTATACTCATGAATTTATTTTCTACTTTATCACTGCTATTGTTTTTCGGATGTTTTTATTGGTTAGAGGTATTTGCCCTGATCTTTATCATGTTGTACAGCGCTTTGTGATTTATATCTGTGAAAGGCGCTATATAAATAAACTTTTACTTACTTACTAAAACAACAATTATAATGTTATAATGTTCAACAGCTTGTGTATGTGACTGCTTTAACTGTTGTCCACCATCAGCTTCAGGTGCCATGGTTACTTCCATAGTGTTCTTTGGTATTTTGCATTAGAGGTACTTTAGGCTTAAAGTTTATTCTGCACTTCTCCAGCCTTCAATATTCTTTTTTCTGGCTTTTTTAAAGCTAGACTCAAACGAATACTATTCAACTTCGTCATTCTTGTAAATGACTTTCTTGAGCCAGTATGTGCTAAAAAGACTTCTTACAGGGTGGATGAGATGTTACTCAGTGTGCGCCGCGGGCTGCTCCCTGCTGGAAGAGGGAGCTGTGGCGTGGAGTGAAGCTGACATGGTGGAGCTGGAGTCTGCTTCCAACACGTTTCCTGCCTTTTCTGCATCGTGAACACACCTGATTGTTTCTTTTAGTGATGAACTGCTCCTCTAAAAACTAATGGAAGCCGAGGAGACGCTTCAGCGGTCGGATTAAGGTGTTAAAAACACAAGCTCACAGCGAGGAGATGAGTTTCGTTTTCAGTTCGACTACAGTGAATTAAAAACAGACACTAGGGGGCGCTAAAATCAAGCTAAACTGTCAAGTATCCCCGTTAATAAATAAAATGCAGGGAAAAAATGTGGAAAAAAACGATTGTACACCAAAAATAAACAAACAAACAAAAGGACACAGAGTGCCACTCCTCAAACCATGCACACCTTGTGCTGCACACCGTCATTCTACACTTTCAACCTTGTTAAAGGACCCCTTCCTTTCCTGTTTACAGTCATTATCGTCCATGCTACAAGTGCTGTAACCGCTTATGTCTGGGACAAACTGGAAACACTCAATTTCATCGAAAACAAAACTATTTTCATTTGAGGAGAACATTTTTTGCTGTTGGCTTGTGAACAAGTGTTACCTACAATTAAACATGAACTGGAAAGACCACAGACTTGGAACAGAAAACAGAACAGAATCGAATAGAAACAGATTAGATCATCTCTTTGTTGTCCCTCAGTGGGGAAAGTTTGGCGTCACAGCAGCAATGAGCCGGTCGTACACTGCGCAATTTTTCACCGTTTTCCCTTTCGTGCAGGAATCTTTGAGGCCAGGGCGGGTTTTGCATCGTGTAGTCTACCGGGGGTTTTAAAAGGCGATGAACCCCTCACGACCAGCTCCCGATCAGCAGCGGTGGCACAAATATCAAACACGTTTGGTCGCCCCTCGTGAGCTAATCACACTGTTGAAGCATCGCTCTGACCCAAAAGTACCAGAACCACCCACACAGGGCACGCATCAACACGGCTCGCCACCAGTTTTCATATCAACACACGTCACTTTTTTTTTTCACTTTTCTCGCCACATAATAATCCCAAAACATGTTTTCTTTCTTTGTCTTTGTCCTCCACCTCCATAAATCCCTGCATGTCTTTTCCTGTTCAGATCAGACAGAAAACAGGGATGGCTCGCCTTCTCATTTAAAAGACATCCCTTTGTTCCGTTACTTTTCAAAACTGCCATCCGTTTGGCGGTGTGACGGCTTTCTGGCTAATACTGAACCTGGAATTATTTTAGATATGCGACAAACTTTCCCAAACCTGCCTCTATAAGATTTGTAGTCATTTGTTTTTTCACCAAGTGGTTTCGTATTAAAATGAAGAAAAATAAATTAAACTTTTGCAAAAACAGTATAGATATAAATGAGATGCTAGTGGAAAATGATTTGAAAGCTAAAATTAACTGATGTACCTGTCTTTGAACGGGCGAGTGGCTTGTGTTTGTGAACATCTGGTTGATCTTCCTCCCGTTTCAGGAAGAAGCCCTCCGAGCTCCTTGGTGATGGAGAGGGTGGTGAGCTTGCACGGAGACCTGATGGGAAGGCAGGAAAAGAAACAGCAGAACGCTCTGAGAAAGCATGAACAGAAACCTGGTCAGATTAAATTAAAGAGGACCTAGAATCTAAACCAACATTTTCACTGATGTTTTTGAATAAAGATAGCTTGAGTGGTCAAAAGTAGCACGCCAGAGGTCAAAGCCATGTGTGACCTACTTTTTATGTAAATTTGAGAGGAAAAAGGCAAGAGATAAACTTCTGTTCCGAGCACGAGACTCTTTCTCAAACCTTAGGCGGCATGAATCCAGCTTCACACAGCGAGTGGGGCTGTACCAACTACCGTATTTTCCAGACTATAAGTCACACTTTTTTTTTTTTTCATAGTCTGGCTGGTCCTGCGACATATATACCAAGGTGACTTACTGTATATGACAAATTATGTAAACCGCGCTGCTGCGGCCCGGCTCCGGTACAGGTTTCGGCTCCTTTGCCCCGCTGGGAGGGTTTCAAGCATCGCCATCACCTATTGCAGCCTGTGGCAGGGAGCCGCGGGCGCTCGCCCCACCCGCTGGGAGGGTTTGAAACACCCCCATCCTCTGCTGGAGACCGTGGCGCGCTGCTGCGCCCTGATTGTTTATTCTGTTATTGTTCTCGGTACTTGTCTTGCAATGTGAAACGCTTGGTCTCAGATTTTGTAAGAAAAATAATTAAATTTTCCCCCAAAATGCGACTTATATATGTTTTTTTCTTCTTCGTTAGACATGTTATGTTTATGTATTTAGCAGACGCTTTTGTCCAAAGCGACTTACAAGTGATAATCGGCATGTTGCACTCTAGGCTAACAACAACAACAATAACAACAAACACTTGACATCAGTCATGGAGAGGAGGGAACAAGGAGTGGACAGTAGAGAGGGGGGGAAGGGTGCAGGGAGGGTGCTAGTTTAGAAGATGCTCTCTGAAGAGCAGGGTCTTCAGGAGTTTCTTGAAAGTCGAAAAGGAAGCCCCTGTTCTGGTAGTGCTTGGAAGGTCATTCCACATTTGTGGAACGATGCATGAGAAGAGTCTGGATTGTCCTGAGCGTGGTGTAGGCACTGCTAGCCGACGATCCTGTGATGACCAGAGCGGCCGGGCCGAGACGTAAGCCTTTGCAAGAGGATTCAGGTAGATGGGAGCCGTACCGTCTCGGACATTGTATGCTAGTGTTAGCAATTTGAATTTGATGTGTGCTGCTAGCGGTACATTTTATGGCTGGTGCGACTTATACTCCGGAAAATACGGTATTTAGTCACCTCAACCATCATATGTAAGTAAAATGTTATCTGTGCTGATTTCACAGACATTTATTCATGGACACCCCATGGACTGGTGCTGATTATCGGCCTTTGTCAAGTGACGCATCAGGTGCTGTAGCGCGTTGCATGATGGGATAGCTAGGTGACGCTTAGTCACCGGATATTTCCCGTTTTTGACTATTTATTCTGACGGAGAAATCTCAAGGCTGTTGGTCATTCTGACAGACTGGAATCACCCCGACGCGTGCAGCTGTGCACATTTTAAACGTTACGACATCATGGAGGTAACAAAATCTATCAACAAACATCAGAACATCTGAGCGTCATCTCAGACCTGGACACCATGATCAGCAGCGCTCTGAGGAGCTGTGGAGAGCAGCTCCGTCTGCGGGTCACAGCCCAGCAGCAGAACCAGAACACAGCAGGTAAAAGGTTCCTTCTTCAGTTAAATAGATTAATTGTAACATTAATGTGTTGCTGGTCAGCTAGTTTGGACTGAATATTAATGAAGAATGAATCAAGATGTAATTGTGAATAAAATGACGGGAGGAAACGATCATGACCGTTTTAAACTCTGTCGGTCAAACTGAAAACAAACATGTCTACCCTGACCTCTGCTGTAGGTCATGTTCCTGTACCTGTTGTAACGTATACTGATGAGAACTCGTTTAATTACGGCCCATCCAGAAATAAAACCTGGAGCAGCACCTGTGCTAGTGGAGTCGTGATTCTGGACGACTACTCTTTACTTTTACTCGATCACAAACACGAAGTAGTAGAGCTACGCTAACTCAGGGGATTTTCAGCAGTAATGAAACGTCTGAGCTCCGTTTGTTTCCTTTGAGGTCGTAGGGATCTACGATGTCGACTGTAGAGTTTCTGAAAACACCGATCTCTGTCCTGCTTCAGAAGTTTATCTCTGTAGGGATGTTCATCCTTGTTCTTGTTATCCATCCTTTTGATCCTTCTTCTGCTTCAACTTCAGCCACAAGCATCTGGCTGCAGACATCAGCTGGCGTCTTTGCCATGACCAGAAATGACATAACCGGAAAAACAAGACATCGGGTCATTACCTTTGCCGCAAGTCATTACCGTTGCCGGAAGTAGTTTGGATTTGACAAGAAAAACCATATCGTGTTGTTTTTCTCTTAGATATGTATATAAGCCAAGCCCCCACAATGCGGCTCAAAAATTGGTCCCAACCCAGAAGTACCAAATATTGCAGTTCCACCCCCATCCACTAGGGGCTGGTGTCAGAAGCGAGCAAGTCCTCATTGACTCCCATGTTAAAAATACCAATTTCGCAGCAGAAATAAACATGTTTACAGCCTGGTACCAAAACATGTTTTCGTTTTAAATGATCTAGTTTACACTCATGACAACTCTGAGGGGGGTGTATTATTTTCTCACTCTTCTGTTTAAGTGTAGAAGCCTAAAATTCTGTATAATTAATGAGCATCAGACCCACGTGACCACAGAGCTAGCTCCGTGGAAAGGCCTCAGTAGAGCCTCGGTCTGGCTTGGAAACTGTTCCGGGAGTTTGAGTCTCTGTGTTTGTGTATTCTTGTCTGGATATTATTTGTGCAATTGTTGGACAAAATGACTTGCTGTGGCATTAATTGCACTAATAGAGCGTCCAAGGAGTCTCCACTTCATTTATTTCTGTAAGTAAAATTATATTTATGTATTTTAGGTCACTGCCGAGCTGAGCTTAGATTTTAACATGTACTGTTTAACCATGAAATTTAAATGTAATAGAGTAAAACCCAGTGCATTTAACATAATGCTGCACTTTAGAAAATGGGTTGAAATATAACATGTTGGTGGAGCTGGGTTCCGACTATCGGCTTGTGGAGCTCTCGGGAGACAGATGTTTTCCACCCGGTTCTCCCCTCCCCGCAGCTCGGCGCATCTCTGTCTGATCGCGGCTCATGTCTGCTGTGCGAATGCCGGCTTTCAGCAGCTTTCGGAGATCTCTGTGTTCCACCCGGTTTTACCCAGCAGTCAGCCCGGCGTATCTCTGACTCAGAAGCTCTGGTGATGTGCACAGTTAACTCCGGTTGTAGCTAGGTTGCTACCTCCGTTAGCTTAGCTCCCACCTCCGCGTTAGCTTTGGGTTAGCTTCAGGTTAGCTTGTAGCTAGTTCGACCGGGTGTCGTCAGTTGATCCCAGCCTTACAGCCCCACCCTCAGCTCCACCTCTCTTCCCTTTTGTGGAATTGTCTGGGCTTGACGGAACCGGCGTTCCAGCAGACGCTGTGAGGGCCAGACGAATGTTGAAATGGTTTTATTTTCGACCTACACTGTTTTTGTTTTGTTTTTTTGGTAGTTTTAGTTGTGCTTGCAGAACGTAAACGATTATTATTTGGGACATTAATTTTGCTGCTAAAATACAAAGTCCCCCAATCGGGAGGTGTCAGAGCCCAAAAGGCTGGGGGCTGGCTGGAAAGGTCTGGATGGGCCGAATGTGGCCCACGGGCCACCAGTTGAGGTTCACTGTCCTATAAGATGTGCTAAAAGACCAAGAAAACCTGGAAATATCAGATGAGATTGTACAAAATGGTATTTTCATGATGATGATTTATGGTGATCAAAGAAAGTTCCATCATATCTCAATATAAAGTTTTCTTTTCTACAATTTATCCAACAGATTCAAATTATGCTCTTCACTAAACATCAGAGCAACCACCTTTCAGAAAAGGTTGCTGAGGAACTGAAACCGAAAGGTTTTGTCTGAAAAAAAATCCAAGCATCATTGTCATTCTGCACTGATGCTCCACAATTATCTCAATAAAACCTACAACGGATCACGTAAAACGGGTTTCAAATTGAAAAGTGTTTACTTTGTTCTGCTGCTCCCTGTCACCTTTGCAGGTTTTGAGTGAGCGAGGCTGTCCACACGTGTTTCAGTGGGTGAAATTTAAGCAGAATCTGGTGTGAAATCATATAAAATCAACACAGACGTTGAAGCAGACGTTCAAGGATTCTGGACAAATAACCTATTTTGAAGGTGATTTGAATAAACGTGTTACAACATATTTTTCTAGGCGCACCGGGGAAACGGTCGATACTGACGATACTCACCAGGCGATGGCGGCGGCTGAGACAGGAAAGCGTCTGACTCGCTGCCTGCTGCTTCTGCTTCAGCTGTGACCTTGAACTCTTTACTCTTGGGAGATCGAGGAGCCTTTTCTGAAGGTCTTCTAAAGCTCCTCCTAAGAGACTGTAGCACACCAAGAGTCTCCTTCACAGCAACATTTGCCATCTTCTCGTTGCTTTGGAGGGACACGTTGTCCTCATCTGGGTTGTCATTGGACTTGTCCATCATCTCATGAGAGGAGAAAAAAAAGGTTAGAATCTAAAAGAAAAGAGGAAAGTCAGCCTGACTCAAGTCAGCACATGAAACAGTGCTGAGGGTAAGTTTGTGGTGACTGTCTGAGACGGGGGAAGGAGTTTTGTTTACAGATAACACCAGATCCAGTCTGTCCACTTGTGATAGGACAGACTTCCAATGTGACATAACTGAAATTAAAAGCTGCAGTTTCTTCGTTTCTCAACTCTTTCCCACTTGTACAAGCCTTTTTTCTTTTTACTACTTAAACATGGAGAGACTCTGTGGTGAGCTTAGAGACGGAACAACTGCAGTTTGCATATAAACATAACATGGAGGTGGAGGATGCCATGTTCTGCCTGCGGTACCGGGTGCTTACTCACCTCGAGATGCAAAAACACACTGAGTGAGTCATGTGGTGTTTCTCAATGTCAAGGCGCCTGGACTTGGGAGGCGATGTCTTACGAGGCCAGGCACCTTGCTTGCAAGGACACTGTCCTTCCTTGGTCAACGAAAATGGTTAAATGGAGCAGACTTGCATCACGTGACCGCGGCTTCTATGACGGTCGCGTAACGTCAGGTGACGTGAGAGATAACGTTATATTTTATACGTATTAGTTTCAATATAAATATATAACGAGTCTTTTACTTTTAAATTGTGTATATTTTTATTAAATTAAATATATAAGTGAGTTACTACCCGATAGCCACCGAAGCTGCAACTACTAAGCAACTAACCAACCATAGATAACTTCTTTTTATCTTAAAAAAAAATTTAATTAGTTGACTTACTTTGAAACTTGAAAATTGTCCCCGAAGTAGTTGCCGGCTTCTGATCCGCCATCCTTATGAAAATACTGCGGTGTATTCTGGGTAATTTTTGTCCAAGGCTAGGCAACAAGACACCTCCCGTGTATCCTCGCTCAGCTAGCTAAACGGCTAACAAACGGAGAACACACGCCTTGGTAGAACATGAACATTGGAGCACGTCTTGGCAGCTCCTGATGACGTATCTCCTAGGCAACTGGGGTGGGGCCGAGACCTCAAGGCGAGGTTCCTTGGCATTGAGAAACACCCATGATCTTCGACGTCTCAAGTGGTTTTACCAACCATCTCTACTTCAGCAGAAGATGAGAAGATGAGAGGTTCAGGAGTGGACAAACGTGTGACTGCATGAAACATCAACTACCTCACCAACTGTATGTCTGATGTGGTTGTGTGCAGTACTGGAGCTCCACAGGGTCCGGTGCTCTCACCCTTTCTCTGCAACTTCTACACCTCACCAACAACACAGATGCTCTGTAAAAGAAGGGCCAAAGCCGCCTCCACTTCCTGAGGAGGCTGAGGTCATTTGGAGTTAATTCCCATCTGCTAAAATCCTTTTATCACTCTGTTGTTGGCTCTGTTATCCACTCTGCTGTGGTCTGTTGGGGTGCAGGCAGCTCTGACCGAGACAGGAAGAGACTGAAATAATTAGTTAAAGTGGGAGTCAAGGCATGGGTGGAAACTTATTGCAATCAAACTTCCAGTTAGTAAAATACCTGGGAAAAAGGCGTTGCCTGGAGCAGTGTTTCCCAACCCTGGTCCTCAGGACCATCGTCTTAAACGTTTTCCATGTCTGCTTCAGCACACCTGATTTACACTGGCCCCTCAGGAGGACATCAAGTGGTGCAGATACCGGTTAATCACGCATTCATTTCAGTCAGGTGTGTGGCAGCAGGGAAACACTGATGTTTGAAGGGGCAACGTGGGAAACATACAGGACAGTGGTCCCTGGGGACCAGCGTTGGGAAACACTGGCTTGGAGGACCAAGAGAGCAGCACAGGGGAAATGATTGGTAGAACCCCCCTCAACCCCCCCACGTGCGCTCTCTGAGTTGCTCAGTCAGAAAAAAAATGTGGTTAACAGGTGTGCAGGCGAGCACACACATGCAGCAGACTCACCGCTCAGGAGAAGAGCAGACACCGAAACTGACTGCAGGAAGGAGGACTTCCTGTTCACCTCCTTCATTAGAATAAAGGGGGGAGGATGTTTTTCTTAAGGAGGCGAGCGGTTCCGAGCGCCAACGTGTCATACGTGTCAGGTGAGTGGTTGAGCCAGCCAGGTGGAGGTGCGGCGAGACTCAGCAGGAGTCTAGAGCGGTGCAATGTCACCCTGCAGCGCTACAGTGATCAGCTGTGGCTGATTTTAAATCATTGTGGAGCAGAGGCTTAACCTGAAGATGGGGTTATAATTACGGTTTGGGGCTGAAATATTAAATTTAAAGTAAGTTGCACTAAACTGCCAAAATAGTGATTACACGTGTGTACAGCACTATTAGACACTCATCTACACAGGTTATCAGCACAATACGTTCATCTAGGTGTTACTCGCTCTTTAAGACAGCTAGCTCGGTTCTGAGCTGTCCATTAGACTCTGTTGAGGAGATGTGTGAAAGGAGGATGTGCGTGAAGCTGACCTCCATCTTGAACAAACCCCTCCCACCCACTGTGACAGCTCTTTTAACAGCAGCTTGAAACATCAAGTAAAACAGAATGCTCTCGTAGGTCATTCATTCCAACTGCAGCAAGCATGTATAACTCCAAAGTTTAACTGCTGCTGGCACTAACCCCTTTTCACGCCAACGTCAGTACATGTGCAATACTCTGATGCACCAAAAAATATATAAATAAAGCTCAGATCTGCTTGTTTGAGGAACTAGCAGAGGGCCACATCAGGGAAGAGCTTCATGGGGCAGCAGTAGCTCAGGAGGTAGACCCAGTTGCCTCGTGAAGATTGTGGGACTGATTCCAGCTTCCACCAGGGGCATTCTGCTGTTGTGTCCGTGGGCAAGACACTTCCCCCAACTTGTCTGCATTGGTGGCGGTCAGAGGGGCTGATGATGCAAAATGGTAGCCTTGCCTCTGTCAGACCGCCCCAGGGCAGCTGAGGTTACATAGCTGGGTGAATGTGTGAATAATGGAACGTGCTTTGAGTGCTTAGAAAAGCTCTATATCGATCCAGTCCATCGTTATTATTTACATGTCGGAATTAGGAGACTTATTTCCAGATATTTGGACATCTCACTTCGGATTGGAAAACTGCAAAATGGCCTCTAGCACTGACATAACCTGCTCTGTGACATAACACCATCCCCGAGGAGTTCTGCTGTGTGGTGGAGTTGCTAATGCTAACAGGTAGCTTCTACCAGCTAAAACAACAACCTTTCCCATTGTGAGACAAGATGGGTGAGTCCATGAATGTTGGTGACAGTGTGACATAGATCTGTCAGGATTTTCTAATCCTAGAGTTTCACCGTCTGTTTTCTATCAGAAGCTACTGCAGGAGGTAGGTGTAGGAGACTATTTTCATGTGCAGTCTGCATGTAGAACTCAGGAGTGACCGGTTATAATAGAAATAATTATTTTAAAATGGTTCCTCAGCGTTCCGCACCATTAATTGGCAGAGCGGCAATATTATAATAATATGAACAAATAATAACATTAATAATTATTATCATTATTATTATAAATAGCTACAAATAATGCACAAATTACATTTTTCCAAGGATTAACAGACATTTTATTAATCCCTTGGGGTAAAATAACGATTTCTCCCAACAGCAAGGGTTAAAATTTGAGTTAAAGTTATGCAGCTGTTGGTTTGCATCATAGACTTTTAGACGAGTGTTTGGGGGATTTCTTATCCAAATAAAGACAAGAGTACTTTCCTGTTGTTTCAAAAACAAATATATATAATTTCATTAAAAACAAGCAGAAATTAAAAAGATTGCATTCTGAAAGTTTTCCTTCAGTAAAACAAATACAGGTGAGGACTTATGGAGAGGTTACCTGGCTTTAATACTGAAGCGGCCCACTGTGGACAGCTGATAAAACACACAGAGACTCGCTTTCTCCAAGAACTTTTTATCATGTCTAAACGCTAAAATCTGACATCTGTATGTGAGCAAATGAAACTGGAGTGGACTCACCTGTTGAGGCTATCGCAGGTAGACCAGCTCGTTCGGGTCGTTTAAAGGAAGAGAGTAGACCGGTAGAACACGTCTGCCTAAAAATAAACTTTCGCTTTCCGATCTAACTAAGTAAGAACCCGGTGTGACATGTTGGCATTGTCACATGCAGGAGAAAAAAGGTCATTGAGCGAATAAAAGGTACGGGGACGTGACAGCGGAGGAACTTCCTGTTTCTGTGGTAAACGATTAAACCACAGCAACAACTATATAAATGCGGGAAGGAGGTCTGCCACCTGAGAGCGATGACCTTCAAGTTGTTTATCTGTGGAACATGGCAGACTGCAGTCAAGCCAGCCGACAGGCTTTCTCATAAAGATCATACTTCGCGCGTACTGGTAGGTGCATCGTGGCAACATGGCTTTGCAGGAGGCGGCACGTCCGTAGGGGGCGCTGGAGCGCCGCCCCACCAGTCTCACAGGAAGAACAAAAGAAGATAAATAACTAAATATTTTTAAAACACCTTCACATTTTAACTAAATGATTTGTTCATTACACAGACTATAAATAATGTGTATAGTTTGCATTTCATTGTAGTTTTAAAATGTTCTCTTACTCTTAAACCACGACAGAAAGGTCGACTTCTGTTGAGGCCAGGCCCCCAGGGTCTGCATCCTTCGAAGGACCCAGCCTACTCGCCTACTCGCCTGACGTGGGCATGGGTAATGTGTGTATGGTATGTACAGTCTATGGTCCTCCGTCTGCCGAGTGGACCGGATGTTAACGGCTGTGAATTTGGACAGGTCTAGCCTTCATGAATTCCCGCCTCTCCCTCGGCGAATGTTCCGTCGCCTAGCAACCGTGGAACCGCAGAGGCAGATCACCAGGGGGGCTCTGCTCACACCACATATAAATATTGGACAATGGGTTTCCATAGGCTCCAAGAATAAGTTTTTGTGCTAAAATGGGAGGTGGCCACCACCGCCATTTTGACCGTGTCACAGGTTCCATCAAGCCCAGACAATTCCACAAAAGGGAAGAGAGGTGGAGCTGAGGGTGGGGCTGTAAGGCTGAGATCAACTGACATCACCTGGTCAAACTAGCTACAAGCTAACCTGAAGCTAACCCAAAGCTAATGCGGGGGTGGGAGCTAAGCTAACGGAGGTAGCAACCTAGCTACAACCGGAGTTAACTGTGCACAACACCAGAGCTTCTGAGTGCGAGATTCGCCGGGCTGACCACTGGGTAAAACCGGGTGGAACACAGAGGTCTCCGAGACCTCCACATGCCGGCAGCCGCACAGCAGACAAGCGCCGCTGCGATCTGAGATGCACAGAGCTGCCGCTGAGGAGAACTGGGTGTAAAGGTTTCCATCCCAGAGCTCCACAAGCCAGCAGGCCGCGCAGTAGACAGAAGCCGCGATCAGACAGAGATGCGCCAAGCTGCGGGGAGGGGAGAAGAGCTCCACAAGCCGATAGTCGGAACCCAGCTCCACCAACATGTTATATTTCAACCCATTTTCTAAAGTGCAGCATTATGTTAAATGCACTGGGTTTTACCCTATTACATTTAAATTTCATGGTTAAACAGTACATGTTAAAATCTAAGCTCAGCTCGGCAGTGACCTAAAATACATAAATATAATTTTACTTACCGAAAAAAATGAAGTAGAGACTCCTTGGACGCTCTATTAGTGCAATTAATGCCACAGCAAGTCGTCGTCGTCGTCTTCCTCCGCTTATCCGGGTCCGGGTCCGGGTCGCGGGGGCAGCATCCCAACTAGGGAGCTCCAGACCGTCCTCTCCCCAGCCACCTCCACCAGCTCCTCTGGCAGGACCCCAAGGCGTTCCCGGACCAGACTGGCGCTGTAACCTCTCCAATGTGTCCTGGGTCGACCCAGGGGCCTCCTGCCGGCAGGACATGCCCAAAACACCTCCCCGGGGAGGCGTCCAGGAGGCATCCTGACCAGATGCCCAAACCACCTCAACTGACTCCTTTCAATCCAGAGGAGCAGCGGTTCTACTCAGAGTTCCTCCCGAATGTCCGAGCTCCTCACCCTATCTCCAATGGGCTCGACACACGGGAGGCGACAAACGACCGCGATCAGCGAAATTTGTCGCCATCGCTTTTATTACCTGACACACGGGAGGCAATCCGTGGCCAGCGGCAAAGCCGTCTACGCGTTCAGTTCCATGGCGAAATCGAAACTTCCGTTGTTTTCTTTGGCTGTGTCAGGTTGGAGGGAATTAAGATTATTTAAGCGGTTCAGAGTTAATAAAGCGGTAGATATGATGTTTCACAAGGTGCTGCTAGAGTTATGTGAAATCTTACTTCTGATTTTACTATATAAAACATAGTAATAATCAACTTCTTCATGTTTACTCGGAGGTGTACAGAGCATCCTGTCCGCTCATTGGTCAGTGAATGAAACCTCCGTTGATTGGTCCTCGTCTGAGCTACAGCGATGAAAAGTTGAAAATGTGTCAACTTTCTGGGATCACGTCGGTGGGTCACCTGTGTACGACATGGGCACGAGCGCAAAATTTCACACGCACATTTTTCGCGTTTCGCTTGGTAGGAGAGAGACCCGCGATTATCGCTTTGTCTCGCATGTCTCATTGAAAATGAATGGAGGAGAGGCGATGTCGCCTCCCGTGTGTCGAGCCCATTAGGCAGAGCCCGGCCACCCTACGGAGGAAACTCATTTCGGGCGCTTGTATCCGCGATCTCGTTCTTTCGGTCATTACCCAAAGCTCATGACCATAGGTGAGGATTGGAACGTAGATCGACCGGTAAATTGAGAGTCTGGCTTTCTGGCTCAGCTCCCTCTTCGCCACGACAGATCGGCTCAGCGTCCGCATCACTGCAGACGCCGAACCAATCCGCCTGTCGATCTCCTGATCCTTCCTACCCTCACTCGTGAACAAGACCCCGAGATACTTCAACTCCTCCACTTGAGGTAGGACCTTTCCCCCGACCCGGAGTTGGCAAGCCATCCTTTTCCGGTCGAGAACAGAACACCACTCAAGTCGCCACTGCAAGTCATTTTGTCCAACAATTGCACAAGTAATATCCAAAAAGAACGCACAAACGCTACAACTAATGGTCTAAGTTGAGAGACTGAAAATGGCGGAACAGTTTCCAAGCCAGACCGAGGCTCTGCTGAGGCCTTTCCACAGCGCTAGCTCTGTGGTCACGTGGGTCTGATGCTCATTAATTATACAGAATTTTAGGCTTTTAATACACTTAAAGAGAAGAGTGAGAAAAAAATTCACCCCCCTCAGAGTTGTCATGAGTGTAAACTAGATCTATCAAACCAAAAACATGTTTTGGTACCAGGCTGTAAACATGTTTATTTCTGCTGTGAAATTGGTATTTTTAACATGGGAGTCAATGAGGATTTGCTCGCTTCTGACACCAGCCCCTAGTGGATGAGGGTGGAACTGAAATTTATTTCACTTCCGCATTGGCCTCAATTTATGTCCCGCATTGTGGGGGCTTGGTGTGAAGCGATGCGTGTGACTGACATCAGAACAGAGGGTGGACTTCTGCTTGCATCTGTGAGTAAACGCTTCCACTGCCACTTGGTGAAGCTCCGTAGGGGCAGATCCCATGGAGGATATTTAATGGGCTGCTGCCACGACCAGAAGTTCTCCCCAGTGTCTTGTGCTCTGCAGGGTAAAGGTGCTTCTGAGGCCACTGCTGTAATTGCTGTGACTGCTGCAGGATGAGGGTGCCAGGAAGAGATGGCCAAAGGTGTCGATGGAGAGCTCCTTCTGCAATCTGTGCGGAACAGGTGTTGCCTTGAGATCTTCATAATAACTCCTAATAATTATGTGATGATCCAATCAGACGATGCCTGCGTACAGGGACTGAATGGCCCTTAGCAAAAGACCATCCACCCCATACTCCACCACTCCACAGGAACAGTCCCCGATGACCACGCAATGTTGCAGAGATGTGTGAACCAAGACATTCCTACAACATCCAAAGCCTTCAGATACCCAGGTCGGACCTCATCCACCCCAGGGGCTCCGCCGCTGCTTAGTTGTTTGACTACCTCAGCGACTTCTGCCCTGGAGATTGGACAGTCCGTCCCCAGGTCTCCCAGCTCTGGTTCCTCCTTGAAATGCGTGTCGGTGGGATTGAGGAGCTCCTCAAAGTATTCCTTCCACCACCTAACTATAGCCCCAGTTGATGTCAACAGCTCCCCATCCATACTGTAAACAGTGTGAGCAAGTTGCTGCAGTCCTCCCTTGATCGATCTTTCTCCACGGTCTCGCCAAACTCCTCCCATGCCAGAGATTTAGCCTCGGCAACTGCCACTGCTGCACCTTGCTTGGCTCTTTGGTACCTGTCTGCTGCCTCTGGAGACCCACAGACCAGTCACACCCTGTAGTCCTCCTTCTTCAGCTTGACAGCTCCCCTAACCTCTGGTGTCCACCAGCGGGTACGGGGGTTACTGCCAAGACTGGCACCAACCACCTTGTGACCACAGCTAGCAGCATCCGCCTCAACAATTGCAGAGCAGAACAAGGCCCATTCAGAATCAATGAGTGCGTTTACATGCAGCCAGTAACCCTTTTAAAACCCAAATATTCACAATAACCCGGTTCCGCAGGTCCTTGTAAACACCGCCAAAAACCCGGATAAGCTCATAACCGGGTTTTTAAAAACCCGGTTACTACACCTGGGGTAACCCTTTTCTAACCCGAATGTTTGGTCGTGTAAACGCACATCGGGATATCCCCATCAAAGCGTGTGTTCTGCGCATGCTCTGTTCGCAAGGAATCTTGGTCTTTTGAGTAGCGAGACGTCTTGTATGCGTCAGAACACCGGAAGTAAACAACAAGTTGGGAGCAAAATGGCGAGTCGCGGCACAGCACCACACTTTTGGAGTGACGAGGAAACTAAAGCACAAACAAACGCGGTCGCTATCTCTTCTGAACTGGGAAACACGTTGTTTTCACGGACACCGGAACAAGAAGAACCGGAAATGAGGCATATTGCGTCTGGACGTAGTCCAAACTTCCTGACGCTACCCCAACGTTTGCATTTAAATCGGGTTATGCAAGTTAGAGGTAACTCTTTCTATTTATGCTTGTAAACGGGTTGTTCTGATCAACTCAGAAACCCGAATACCGACCTTAACCCTATCATAACCCGGATATTGGCTGCATGTAAACGTAGTCAGTCCCCCACTGCTCTCAGGACGTGGTCAAAGCTCTGCCAGAGGTGGGAGTTGAAGACCCAGGCGACCCAGCGACGCGATCCCAGAAAGTTGAAACATTTTCAACTTTTCATCGCTGTCGCTCAGACGAGGACCAATCAACAGAGGTTTCATTCACTGACCAATGAGCGGACAGGATGCTCTGTACACCTCCGAGTAAACATGAAGAAGTTGATTATTACTATGCTTTATATAGTAAA